ATCCAAAGAAGTCTAAGTCTTGTAATAGATATGTCTTGGCTAAGTCATAAAAAGAAAGTAACTATGACTATCTAGTCTTTAACCCCATCCAAGACCTAAGAAGGGAGATAATATTACTTGAGTAGACAGAAGTGCAATAAAGCAGCTTACAAAATGTGCAGTAGATGACAGAGACAACTGGCTACCTGGACAGTCACCCAAAGTCTCATTTGCAAGGTTGGAGCAACCAACTTTGGCTAAGGTCTAGAGTAATTGACAGACCATTTTCAGAGGTAGACAGATTTTCAAAACTGTCTTACCCTATCTTGGCAAGGTTTTCTTGTATCAGTGTGACCATGCATTTTGTCAGTGGTTGAGGTATAGGCAGATCCTTGCCCAAAGGCCAGTTTTGCCAAGAAGAAAACAAGCTCCAGGTGGAGCGTCTTCGGTGCTCAACTTTTTCTTGGGCATAGATCAGTGCTGCCAGGAGCAATTGTGTCTCACATCAACAGAGCCCTAAGTTATTTAAATGCCATATTCTACAATTCTTTGGAGTGGTTGAAGATTATCTATCTATGCAAAATACAATGTCTGTGTATCTAAAGAACCTGATTAGTGTGACAAACATGAATGACTATTGACCTATAATTCTTAATACCTATATAACTCAAAAACTAAGACTTCATATTAGAATATTAAGCAGTCTTTAAACAATTGTGCAGCAAATGAAGATAATGGCCTCAAAATGTAAATAATGTATAAGTATCTTAATCAGAGGTAGAAATGTATAATACAATATGATAAATAGATCCTAAAATTGTATCAATATACAAAATATCTTAAACAGAGGTTGAAACATGCATACATGCATGCATACAATATGACAAAATAATTTTGCATAGTTGTACAAATATTGTCAACAGAAATAGGATGAGTTCATGTCAAGATCATTGACATACCAACAGGCAGAACTAATTGGATTTAGAGGGTTCTTTTGTTTAATTTTGTTGATTTTTTTTTTCAAGACAGGGTTTCTCTGTAGCTTTGGAGCCTGTCCTGGCACTAGCTCTGTAGATCAGGCTGGCCTCAAACTCACAGAGATCTGCCTGCCTCTGCCTCCAGAGTGCTGGGATTAAAGATTTGTGCCATCACCACCCATCTCAAAACAATTTTAAACATAAAAAAAAAACACCTGTCTCTGCTACTTGCTTAAAACAAACTCATAATTTAAGAATAGTAAGATTATCAGCAGGATTTCCTGTTGTTGTTTGGGCTTTTTTGAGATAGGGTCTCTACTGTAGAACCCAGGCTAGCCTTGGCTTCATAACCTTCCTGCTTCTATCTCCTGAGTGCTGATAATATAGGTATGTGCCACAATACCCAGGAAGCATTTCTTTAAATACACAAAAGTTGAGTATTTTATTGAAACAAATTAACCTTTCCTTCTCATCAAAAGGATGAAATATTAACAAAAGCCATGAGGTTCTGAAGCAGTAGGCTGTGGCAAATCAGAGACCACAGTTGAAAAAAATTCTAAATTTTTACAAAAGTCATAATTGTAAGGTTTTCAGAAGTTTAAATTTTAGAATTCCCTAATACTGTATAGTATAGATTTTAAGAATATGGGAATCATTTTCAAAGTGAGTGAAGCAGTTGGAGAGATGGCTAAACGGTTAAGCTGCCTCGCTGCCTGCCCTTCCAGACGACCTGGGTTCGGTTGCCAATGCCCACATCCGGGGTCCACAGGCATGTGTAACTCCAGCACCCAGAGACCTAATGCCCTCTTTTGACTTCCGTGGGCACAGAGGATCAAAAGAAGATTAAAGGAATAGAAATAAGTAATGTAAGAAAAATGGACAGAAGCAAAAGTATTCAACCTAAAACAATATATGAAATAGTCAGTTATACTATTATGATGGACATTTCTCATGTCCAGTTAAGAAAAGTGAAAGAAGCAGAATCCACGAGGGAGTTAAACCAAAGTGAACTACGATTCTTTTTTTTCTTTTTTTCCGTAAAGGTTAAGTAGAAGAGAAAGGGTTGTGAAGATCAAAACCTTCCCACAGAACTAGAAATATTTCTCCTATTCCAAATTACTTCTACATTAAAAACCCACATACCTAACACGTTATCAGAGACTTGCTTCTCAATTTCCTGATACATTTCTGGGTAACTCATCCCTGAAACTAGAGAAATTACCTTGAAGCCCTGCTTGTCAGAATCCCAAGGTAGAACGTAGCAGCCCCACCACTCAGACATTCTCTGAGCGGAAAAAGGAATGCAGCTCTGTGGGAAATACAGTGTTAAAGATTTCCACTTGTGAGCCAAAGACATGGATCCAAAAGAAGAGGCACTTGCTGTCAAACCAACAACCTGAGTTCGGTCCCCGGGTCCCACATGGCATAAAGAGAGAGCCAGCTCCCTCAAGTTGTCCTCTGACCGCCACATGCACACTGCCCACACATGTGCACATGGTAAAATAAATAAATTTAATAAAGAAATGTTAAAATTTCACTTGTAACTAAAGCTACATCAATTATTATTAAGAATGTGAAGATATTATCACACTATATACCCAGAACATGGAGTCTTTTGATGGAACTCTTGCTTTCACCCTGTCCTCATAAAAATATTTACCTATTATAGGGTTCAGGTTGATGTTTACAAGCAAAGCTGTGATATGGGAAAATATGAAGCACCTGTTCACATAATTCCAAGAAGGTAGCCTCTTCCATCCCCAAGCTCTGAAACTAAGCCGAAAAGGGAAAGTTTATGTCAACTATTCTTAATAGCAGCTTTTATAGTTGGGGTTATTTTGTCAAAATTGAGACTACAATATAGCATATTGGGACTGTAACAATAACAGAACAATGATGAAAATAAACTCAATCAATAGAACAGACGTGAAATTCAATTTTTAAAAAGCAGGCATGCCTGTCACCATGCCTGGCTCTGCCTTTCCAATTCTAGTAACCTGAATGACTTTGCTTCTTAGCCTGCAGTACTTAGAAGAAACAAGGAATTAACTAAGCCAACAAACCAGAGCCTGATGTAACAATTTTTGCAATAACTGACCGAGCACTTTCCACACACTTCCTAGTTTAATGCTTACATCAACCTTTTAAACTTTACTGCTGGTCCTAGAACATAGTCCTCAGAACCAGCACAACCCCCAAGACCAACAGGGTCTTTCAGAGAAGTCTCCTTGGACTCTCTCCTTTTTCCTACTTCTAGTCCACATCTTGAACTTGTCAAGACCTTGCTTCATTTCTACAATGTACCTTAATTGCTTACAGTTTGCTACATCAGCCACTATCCAGGACCCCAGCAAATCTAGATTTAATATATTTTCAGTCATTTTACAACTGTAGAATTATTCTGGCAAAATCATAATCTGTCATTCTGAGACTTTCACATTAGGCTACTTGCTTTGGGCTACATCTTTTTATAAATTCTCTAGAAATTTACAAAAATATTACTTTGTGTTATCCTGACTTTTCTAGTTCCGTTCTTAAAAGTTTAGTTTTAGCGAGGGTTGTAGCACACTCCTGTGATTCCAACACCAGGGAGTCCGAGGTAGAGAAATCAGGTGTTTAAGTGCATCCTCTATATGCTGACTTCAAGATCTACGTGGGAGAGTTTATGTCAAAGTACACACACACACACACACACACACACAGAGAGAGAGAGAGAGAGAGAGAGAGAGAGAGAGAGAGAGAGAGAGAGAGAGAGAGAATTAGATTAGGTTTTTTTTTTTTTTTTTTTTTTTTTTTTTTNTGTAGCTCTGGGGATCAAACTCCAAGCCTTAGCAAGTGGCCTGTCACTGAGCTACATCCTATCCCACATTTAAAAAGCTCATTTCTAACCTTATCACAGAAAGAAATGACAGTAGCTAATCATGTTATAATGATATTCTCCTAGGCACATCTTGTTAGTGTCTCAATATGCTAATAGCAGGGAAAATAATGCAAAATAAATTTACAGGACAGCATATCCACCAATAATTTTACCTGCACACAGGGAGTAATGCCTTGGATCTCACCTGGTGGTTGCTATATCTGTGAGTCCATGGAACAGAACTAAGCACTGTGTTTCACCGCCTACAAGCTGGATTAAGTCACCTGTTCCTGAGACAGATATAAGTCCAAAATATCTCCCGGAATTTTCCTAAGACATGAAAAAAAATCTTTTAATAGTGTTTTAAAACAGAGTACTGGTGGAAGAAAACTGCAATGATAAACCTCTTCCAAAAAGATATTATTATTTCCTCATAAGAAATGTTACAGTTTGAATCTGCAATGTCCCCACAGGGCCACATTTTTGAGTGCCTGTTTTGGGATCCTTTGGGTGGTGGCCTGAAGTAAGTTGCTAAGGGTGGGCTTTTGAGCTTATGGTGCAGCCCATACTTCTCTCTACTCTGGGCTTTCTCTGTGATGGGGAGAGACTACGCCATTACCTCTTCCTGACTATCATGGACTTGAATCTTCTGAAACCATGAGTCAAGATAAGCTTGTCAAGTTATAATAAAACTAGGCACATTCTCTCATATTAAGGCTGGACTAGGCAACATAATAGGAGGAAACGGTTCCCCAAAGCAGGCAAAACAGTCAGAGAAAGCCTCGCTCCCACTATTAGGAGTCCCAGAGGAACAGCAAGCTACACAACCACAACATATATGCTGAGGAAATAGGTCAAACCCATAAAGGCTCCCTGATTGAGTCTCTGCAAGCCCCTAAGAGCCCTGGTAAGTTGATTCTGTGAGCCATTTTCTTATGGTGTCTTGACCCCTCTGGTTCCTATGATCCTTCTTGACCCTCTTCTACAGAATTCCCTGAGCTCCACCTAATGTTTGCCTCTGGGTTTCTTTATTGCTACGCTATTATCTTGGCAAAATATACCTGTTGGGTTATTTCATTCATTCACTGATTCACTCATTCATTCCATGTTTGAATGGAACCCTAAGAATGGAGCAAAACAACAACAAAAAAAAGCATGATTCATAAAGTTGCAACTGTTTATTTCTTCCTAAGAGTTAACATGGGAGCACAGTAAGTTTCTTCAATTTCCCTGGTGTTTGCATTGCCTCTCATTGACTTATGAGCATGTATAATCTTTTCATCAAAGTGTTGTAAGCCAGGCAGTGGTGGCGCATGCCTTTAATCCCTGCACTCTGATCTACAAGAGCTAGTTCCAGGGCAGGCACCAAAGCTACAGTGAACCCTGTCTCGACCCCCCCCCCCCCAACATGGTGTTTAAACACCAGAATAAATTCAACAGCTGAGCCAAGCAAAGCAAACAATAACAACAAAACCCATGTATGTCCCGGGCTGTTTCGTATGCATTAGAAATAGTGTTGGGCATGGCAGAGTAACCTCAGCACCAGAAGGCTGAGGCAGAAGGATTATGAATTTGAACCCAGCCTGGTCTACATGGAGAGTTCATATAAAGAAAAAAAAATGAATTCTGAGTTCATTACACCCAAGAGTGGGCCTCACATATCCAGGTGTGAACAAACTGCCAAACTATAGATCTTAACTCTCTAAGGCTTTCAGAACAGAGTCCAAAAGCCGAAGGAAGAGGCCAACTTAGCTTCTGTTTCACAATAACCTTCGTCGTAGACTAATTACACGAAGTTGGCACTTCCGAGACGGAGTGCAAAAGTCAACCGAGAACTTGGCAGATCCTGCGCGCGAGGAGCACTGCGGAAACCGTAGCCTCAGGGTTAGCAGGGACCGGAACCCGATTTCTCCACACTTTGTCCCGAGTGGGACGACAGTTCGGACGCACATTTCTGGTTAAAAGCGGACGCGGCTCCGAGCCGGAGCGAGCAGCCGGGAGAGTCGTGGCGGGCGGGAGACCGCCCTGCCTGACTGAAGGGAGCAAGGTGCCACCGCGCGCTTCCGGTGCCCAGCTTCCGGCTCCGGGTCCGGGCCTGGGACAGAGGCGGAGCCACTGCCTGCCGCGACTTTCAGACTCCTACTATGGCTACGCGCTGGTGGTGCTGGCGGCGGGGCTGCTCCTGGAGGCCGGCGGCCGGGAGGCCGCGGCCGGGACGCCCTGGCTGTGCGGGGCCGCTCGGGACGTGCGCCGCCTCGGACACCCGCGCGCAGGTGAGGCCAGGACCACGCGCTCTGCGGGCGGCGTAGAGGTCACCGCGCCAATGACAGCAGGCGAAGGAATGAATGGGAGGACGCGCACGTGCGCCCGGGCCTGGTCCGCTGTGTCCGCTGGGAGGGACGCCGGGGGAGCGGGACCAGTCCCGGGGCCCGAAGTGCGGAGCAGCTGCCCGGGCCCCCCCGGGGGACATGGGGGGCTGAAGTGGGAGCGGCGGAGCGCAGCCCTGTTAGTCACAGAGACCGGGTGTGTCGGGACGACGCAGTTCCTTCCTCTCCTTCCTCAGACACAGCCAGAGCCAAAGGGACCTCTGCTCTCATTTTCCTAGCAATTTCAGATTTCGGATGCAGTTAGCCTTAGGATTCGGGAAGGGTGTGTGACGATGCAAGGTTGATGCTAGCTGGGGTGGACCTGACTTCAGTGCTGTAGGTGTTTCGGAGGAAAAAAACCTGAAAGGCGCTGGAAGGACACTAGAAGGAGATGAGCTGGAGGGTGGCATGAGAGACCTATGACTTCCTCGAAGTAAAATCATTATCCAAGAATGAGTCCTCGAAATCCTCCCCTGCTGCATTTGCCTCCAGTTTGGTTTCTCTCCCCATCGGATTAGCACTGTAAATGGTTCTCTGGTTCTGTGTGAGTGGAGTTTGCCCAGCCGTTGGCATTACCGGACAACATTCTCAGACTGACTTTTGAAGCTAGAGTTTTTCACTTTGCGTTTTGGAGACCTTTTCTGCAGCACAGTAATTGAATGAGGGTTCATCTTTCATCTACAAAGAACCCACCCCTTAAATTTGGGTTTCTGATTTTAGTAAGATTTGTTATGCTTCATTTGGCAATGTACTTATCAAATGCTAAACCAATATGAAATATGTCGCATTTTTAAATACCTGCTTTGTACTAAAGTGGATGCATATAAAAAGTTATCCAAACAAGAATTTGAAGAGAAAATGCAAGCTTATCTACATAGAAAGGATAATATTTAAGAGAATGTCGTGAGCCACCTCTTTGGGGTGACTTCTGCCACCCGCGGTGGGTTTGTAAGTTCCAGGGTAGGGGAGTGAGGATTAGAACTGTGAAATATGATAGCAATTCAGCAAATACTTAATGATGAACTGAGTCTGCCAAGTGTTTAATTTTCAATACACTTTTATATCCCAATACGAAAGGGGGAAAGAAGGCAAAAGGACTGCTTTAACATGATAAAAAGAACAGTTACTTGCTTCAGTACTTGAGACATCAAACCATTATTTCTTAAGAAAAATATACGATGTTTGGGGCAGTGAACCCACCCCACCCTAGACCAAGTATCCTGCTGGCAGCCACTCAGTAAACCTATTTCCAAAGAAGGAGCAGAAGTATGTTTGAATTCTCTGACCTTTAGTCAGGGTGGAGTGGATCTACCTCTATGGCCTTCTTAAAGTTCAGAACACAAAGTAACCACACCCTAGATAGCCACACCTCTTATAAAAAAAACTTTGAAAGAGCAAAAGTAAGCTCAAAATCTCTGACCTTCAGACAGGTGGAACAGGCTCACAGTTTTGGGTTCCCAGCAGAGAAGGGTGTGTAGGGAGAGTCTTAGACAACATCTGTCTCCAGATTGTAAGCCTTGGGTCTTGGTTTCGATCTCCGTAGATGTGGACATGTTTTGAAGGTGGCATCCACCATAAGATGCCACTGCATACTTTTTGCCTTGGCTTTTTGCTTTAACAGAGAGAGAGAGAGAGAGAGAGAGAGAGAGAGAGAGAGAGAGAGAGAGAGAGAGAGAGAGAGAGAAGGAAGAAAGATGCTCATCAGGAAACCTCATCCATGGAAAAGGTGCTTTTCTGGAAAGAAGCTGTCTCCTTGAGCAAACATGGATGGTGCCAACATGTTCATTTTCCTCTATAAATATATTAGAGTCAGCTGTCTGCTTCTGGCATGCGTGCTTTAGTTACTTCTGGTCTCTCGAGGACTACAGACGTTAAGAACAAAGAGCAACAATAATTAAGCCAACTTCAGCTCTCTGACGTGGTATTGTTCTGTAGCCACTGTGGCCGGGACTCATTATGTGGCTAAGTATGGCCTCAGATGCACAGGAGTCGTCCAGCCTTAGTTCCCACCCCTTCCCTAGTGAGTGACCACACCCAACTTTGTCTTTGATTCATATTGAACTTATTCTCTTATTTTAAAAAGTCCATTCTTAGCTAGGCCTGTGATGCTAGCACTCGGCAGATAGGGGGGAGATCAGGAGTTCAGGGTAATCCAGGACTACAGATGAGTTCAGTGCCAGACTGGGATGTGTGAGACCTTAAAAAAAGGTTCAAATTTAGGGGCAGAGTTGACTTTCAAAGAGAGCAAGTGATGGGAAAAGAGGGAATGGAGTGGAAGTAGAAGGTCAGTGAGCCACAGAACTGGTTGCACAGCCTCATTTTAATACTGTGATTCTCTCCCTTTGGAAATGCTGCCCTGAGGTAGAATACAAAATACAATTTGATTTGAATAGATACTGTCTTTAATCTTGGTTGTGGCGCTAAGGGTGTAATTGAATAGATACTATCTTAAATTTTTCTGTATAGCTGAGAGTTGTAGTTCAGTGGTAGAACAGTTGTCGGACATTGGCAAAGTTCTGGGATGAGCCCCAATACAGCAAAGTAAATAAAAATAAATGCATGCTGTATATTGTATTCTCAGCTAAGTACTTTATAATATATTTATACTTTATATATATTTTATATATATTTTTATATAATATATTTATATATATATTTATGAATATTTGTAAACATATAATATATAAATATGTAATATTTATAAATATATTTATGAATACAAAAGTATAATATTTATGGATATTATGTATTATATTTATATAATGTATTTATACTTTATATATATATTTTACCTATGCTCTAAGATTCAGCATCTCTTTCCGTGAGTAATTATGGACAGAAAGATGTTACAAAGTGGCCCAGCCAGAAATTTTTGTTATTTGTGCCAAGCTCTGTCCTCTGAAGACTATACAATTAACAACAGTGTTTAAGATGCTACTTGCTAGGCAGAGTGGTACATTCAATGCTACCCCAGCCTTTGAGAGTCTGGGGCATAAGGATCTTAACTTAGGCTATGCGATAAGATACTATCTTAAGACACTGGCTGGGGTGGGGGAGCAGTCTTTAGTTATATGTTCTGTAGTAAAGCATCGCCTTTGTGTAAATTAACTACTTAGGAAGTCCAACAGAAGTCGGTGGCCTAAAGAGTGCAGCGGCAATCTGAAATCCTAGCTATTAGGGAGACTGAAGTAGCCAGACTATGAGATCAAGAAGGGACTCTTGAATGCAATGTGCATGACAAGGTTCATTTTATTATCATAGCTCCTCTGATAGCAGCTAGGAGTTTACAGTTTAAGAGAACCTGCTTCACAGCCCAGCATGTTCGGAGTTATAGAAAGCACATTTGTCTTGAGAAAAACTTCTGAGGTATGAGGATATCATTTACCCTAACTTTTCTCTGGAAACTGAGGCATTCCAGAGTCCCTTCTTGAGGAATACCAGCATGAGATGATCCTATGCCCGTGTCACAAATTCATTATATCCCTGTAGAACTTCGTAAACTAGAACACATACATGGAGGCTAAACACCCTCGCACATAAAATAAAGAAAATCTCAAAAAAATCGTTAAAGAATAGTAATATTAATTGCTAGAATCAGTATTTGTTACCACCTTTGAGTTCTTTGGAAGTGGTGTACTATAATTCTTTGATATTCTCTTTGAGCCTATTTATGTATCCCAGGTTGACCTTGAACTTGTGGTCCATCTGCTTCCCTGACCTCCAAGTGCTGGGATTACAGGTCTACCCTTTCTTGCCCCAGGATTGCTGGATCTTTGATCATATTACCCAAGGACCCTTGAGGTTGGTGGTGGGTTGTCTGTGTCATACACACACAGCACGTGTTCTACCACTGGGCTAGTACACTTAGTCCATTCATTTATTAGAAATTACTTACTCAGAAGCACTCACTATTTCCAAATATGTGTAATAACCATAAATTAACATAGACAGCATCTGTGTAAATGTCAGTTTTTCATAACCATCCCCCATGATGCTTTTGACATCTGTGTGTTTTGAGAATTTAAAAGATACTCTAATTTTCCCTGTTCTGTGAACAGTCTTAGTTAAATGGGAGGAAATTGTTTTGCTGAGGCTCTTCTGCTTTAGAAATAAATGTGGACCCAGCTTTTATAGGGATGAATGTATTGGTACAGAGGTAGTGCTGGAGATTAGCCCTACAGCCTCTTGAGAAGTGGGTAACTACTCTTCTACTGAGCTTTCTCTGACTCTCTTTTCTCACTTAGAGATAGGATCTCACTAAAAGTGGCTTGGGATGACCTTGAACTCACTGTTGTCCAGGCCAACCTTGAATTTGGGATCCTCCTGTCTCAGCTTCCTGAGTACCTGGGATTACAAACATGCAACACCAGGACTGACTCCTGCTTTTGTCTGATTTCCTGTGTTCTGATAGGACATGTATTGCCTTCATAATCGGGAAAGCGAGCTTCTAACTGCCCTTTTTCTCTTAGGGCTAGCACCCTCTTATAAATGGCTGACTAAGTGATAACATTTGTTGTGAGTTATGGGGATAGTTGTTGTTATGAACAAGTTTTCCAGGAATACTCTTACAAGTTTCTTTATCCTTTTGTTTTATAGGTGCCCTATTTTAGCCTAGTGAAGACTTTAACATCTGCCTTCCCAAATGTGCATAGTATATCACAGTAAGTTTACAATCTATCTTGGAGCTGCAAAGACAATCACAGTAAACTTCTATTCTCATTTTCCTTAGCCTAGGCTAACAAATTAACAAATGTATTTAAGTAAAAGCCCTGATAGTCTGTTTTATATGATCTCTGCCAGTTGAGTTCTACTCAGAATATAATGAATATAATATAGTCTTTCTCTGTTGACTCTCAAGGTCCTTTTCAGTAAAATGAGCTATTAATGTATTATTTAGCAAATAAGAATTCTGTGTGTTTCTAAATTATGATGATCTTTTCAGATTCATGTTTGATTTCTAGCAAGTCTAAGCTTCATTTTCCACCATATAAATATGCATGTGCGTGTAATACTTAAAACTGGAGTCATGTGTGCATCTTCACTCCCCTCAGGTTCCATCAACGGACACCAGCAGTGTGCTGTTGTAGTCAAACACAGAGTGGTGAGAAATACATTGATCCTTTTAAACTTGGCTGGAGAGACTTGAAAGGTCTGTATGAAGACATTAGAAAGGTAAGGGTTTATTTTACTGAAATCTAGTAACATTTTAGGATTACAACCAAACAATACAGCCATTTCATGGTGACTTGGTGATGTGGGATTCCCCTCTGTATATAATTGGTTAATAAAGAAGCAGCTTTCGGCCAATGGCTTTAATAGAATATAGCCAGGCTGAAAAAAATAGAGAGAGAGTAGGCAGAGTCAAAGAGGAGCCATATAGCCGCCACAGGAGGCAGATGCCTCCACCAGAACCCTCCAAAACTTTGCAGGTAGCCGTGACCTTGTGGTGCGGCACAGATTAACGGAGATGGGTTAGTTTGGGGGATAGGATCTAACTAGAAATATACTTAAGCTATTGGCCAAACAGTATTGCAATATGGTTTCTGTGTGATTATTTCGAGTGTGAGTGGCCAGGAACGAACAGTGGCCTCAGCCAACAACTCACACTTACAATTCCAGCATTTGGTAAGTCGAGACAAGAGGGCCACTGCAAGTTCAAGGCTAGTCGGGATGACATAGTGAGTTTCAAGCTAGGGTAGCTACTCTATGAAACCATATCTCAAATAACATTAAGGTATTTGATCCATTGGCTGACTTTTGTGTGGGGTAAGAATCAGAGATTTAGTATTATCATTTAGCGTGTATATGTCCACTGTCCCAGCACTATTTGCTGAAGGGTTTGTATTTTGGGCATTTTTGTTAAAAATCAGGTATCTGTAGCGTAGCAGGTTTAATTCTGGATTCTTTATTCTATTCCACTTACCTAAGTGTCTGTGTACCAAGTACCGTGATTTGCTACTATTGCTCTGTAGTATAATTTGATATCATTGCTCTGACCTCTGGGATAGTTTGTGCTTCTATATGGATTTTAGGGTTGTTTCTCTACTTCTGTTAAAAATGCCATTAGAGGACCAGGGAGATCATTCAGTGGGTTAGGGCACTTGCAGCCGAGCTTGGCCACCTGACTTATTGGATTCCTCAGGAACTACTCGTGGAAAAGAAAACAGGTCCTACAGGTTGTCCTCTAACCTGCACATTTATCATGGCAGACAGGCACATGCTTAGTACTCATTAATACATAAACAAATGAATTTTGAAAATGAATGTCATTAGAATTTTGAGCACAATTGCTTTGAATCTATAGACAGCTTTTGATGTATAGCCATTTTCATTATCCGTGAATGATCCTTCCACCTTCTAGTGTCTATTTTATTGCTGTAGAACTTTCACTGTAGGGGTCAAGTTTATTACTGCGTTTAAATTGTTATCATTTCTGAGTTTTCTTAGAGGGTCTGGAGAGTATTATATATAGGATCATGCAAACTATAGGGATAGTTGACTTTTTCCTTTTCAGTTTGTGTCCCTTTGATTCTTTCTCATCTTACTTAGCTAGCCAAGACTTCAAGCACTATATTGAATAAGGAGAGAAAGTGAATACCCTTGTCTCTTCTGCCTTTAGAAAAATTATTTTTTGAGTTTTTTCCCATTTGAGTAACATTAGTGACTTTTTGGTTTTGTAAACATTATGTTGAGGTATGTTTCTTCTATTCCTGATTTCTTCGTGACTTTTAAAATATTCTATATTTTTTAAAGTTTGTCATATTTAAGGATTTCAAAATAAAGCCATATAAAGTACATTTGTTGCATTACTGGGAAGGATCAATTATCCCTTATTTTAAATCCAGAAGGAGCTCCAACAAAGTATGCAATCTTATAATAGAGTACAATATGATGGTGTATCATAGGCATGTCCCATTAACAAATCCAAATGATTTTTTTAACTTTCTTTTTATTTATTCTTTGTGTCTTTCACATCATGCACCCCAATCTCACCCATCTCCCATACCCTCCCATCCACCCTCTGCCCCTGCAACCCCCCCCCCCAATAAAACAAACTAAATTTAAGATAAAAAAGGAAAAAAAAAACCTAAGGGGAAAATCTAATCATGGAAGCTGTAGTGACATAGTGAGTCCTGCAGTAAACCCCTTTACCCATATATCTTTACATGCAAGTGTTCATTGCATAGAATCATTGGTTTGGTTAGAGGCCCCTCGTCTCGTACACTAGCCACACTGGGCTCTCACTGGGACTCTTCCAGGACATCCCCTTGCCGCCTTGTGTCATGAAGATCCTGTAGCCCTGTGTCCACGGGACACATACACACACACACACGTGCTGGATGTGGAGTGGGCCAACACTTAACTCAGGTTCTGGGCCCAAGTAGTTACAGGGTTGGTCAGCCTGCCAGCTCTCCCTGGTCTTTACCACCAGGGTGAGTTCTCCAGCATTGCCATGGCTGGTTCACCCCTTGAACTTACGAGCAAGGTCAGAGCTAGTTTTCTGACTTTCACATCATCAGGGTTGGTTTTCCCACACTTAGACCTTTAGGGCCAGCTATACTGCGTTGCCCAGTCGAGGTGCAGGGACCTCTCTCCTGAGTGTTGCAGCTGATGGGAGGCAGGGACAGCTCTTCCACCTGAGGGGTAGAGGAGAGAATCTCTCCTCCATCCATGCTGTCACATGAAAAATGAGTAGTCTGGACAGTTCTCTCATGTTCAGAAGTTCAGGACAGGCTCACCCCACCTCCACCAACAGGGTTGGTGCCCAGGCATCTTCACCTTGCCCCCACCACCACACTGCAAACAAGGGAGGCAGTACTAGTTATGCCCCTCTCATGCCCTTAGAACTGGCTCACCCATGTCCCTGTTTACAGGGACTCTACAGTCCTGCCCTCTCTGCCTGTAGTGGTGTCAACACAGACAGGGGCCATGAACCTAGGCCTGAGCCCTAGCAGCAGCCCAGACCTAGACATCACCATGTCACTGAGTGGCAACCAAGCCATCCACCTCAGCCCACCCTTCACCACTTTCACTTCTTTAGATCTGCCTCTGTCCACAGGACATGAGCCATTCTCTCTCTCTTCCTCCCTCTCTCTCTTCCTCTCTCTCCCATAACACACCTTATCTGTGCTCACCATAACAATGCCCCGTCTACCCATGTTTTCTTGAGGTGGGGGCAGGAGGTGCTACTTGTGGGTCTCTTTGCTCCATTCAGTCCGTCATGGCACTAGGCAGGAACATGTTTCTTTCTTGGAATCCAGGGTGGTTCACTCTGGGCCTGTGTGTGGGGATATACTATCTTTTTAAACTGTTTGTCTATCATCCAGCACTTGGTAGGTCTTAGATTCCAGGACTTCATAGCAAGGACATAAGCCAGATAATGGTAATGAGTTGTCTCCCTGACTCAATAGGAAGTTTCCCACAGTCAAGCAAACCATGAACCTTTGGAATAGCTTCTGCTAACATAGACTCAGTCACTGATCTGTATTCTGAAACCTAGCTGTCCTCTTATCTGCTGGATACTCCTGGTGTTTGCTAGGCTCCCACACTTCACTGTTGACAAAGGTTTCTGTCCTTCCCAATCTTGCAGCCGTTCTGTCCCAAAGAAACTCACAGAGGTCTTCTGCATTAATTATAAACTGGTTAGCCTATTAGCTCAGATTTCTTTTTTTTTTTTTTTTTTTTTTTTTTTTTTTTTTTTTTGGTTTTTCGAGACAGGGTTTCTCTGTGGCTTTGGGGCCTGTCCTGGAACTAGCTCTGTAGACCAGACTGGTCTCGAACTCAGAGAGATCCGCCTGCCTCTGCCTCCCGAGTGCTGGGATTAAAGGCGTGCGCCACCATCACCCGGCTTCAGGTTTCTTATTAACTCTTACATCTTAAATTGTCTGTGTTAGCCATGTGGCTTGGTACCTTTATCAGTGAGACATTCTCTTCTTGCTTTCTCTGCATCTGGGTGATGACTGCAGACTGAGCCTTTCCTCTTTCCAGCATTCTCCTATTCTTGTCACCCTGCCTATACTTCCTGCCTGGGCACTGGCCAATCAGAGTTTTATTAAACCAACACAAGTGACAAATCTTTCCAGGGTGCAAGACTTTGTACTGTCCTCTGCCTTCCAAGTTGCTTTGTAGCTCTCTGTTCCTTTCTTTGTCCTGTTGTCACTTGCTATCATGAGGCAGGTACCAATACCTGCCCTAATACTGACACCACACCACTTGGTGCAAAGCCAGGTTGTGTGTGTGTGTGTGTGTGTGTGTGTGTGTGTGTGTGTGTGTGTGTGTGTTGAATTTCTCAATTGAAATGAGTGCACTAAAATAAAACTGAAGTTTTGAAGAAATCAAAGATCTGGTCTACATGATTGTAATGCCATGCTAACAAGAAGATAATATATTTCAGGAGCTTTGCATCTCCACCAAAGAACTGAAGGACATGTCTGAATACTACTTCGATGGCAAAGGAAAAGCTGTTAGACCGATTATCGTGGTGCTAATGGCCCGAGCATGTAATATTCATTATAATAACTCCCGGTGAGTTACTTTATTCTGTGTTTTTGTTGTTCTTTTCTTTTGGAAAGTTGTCCTTCATAAAGTTATTAGTTAATTGCTCATTTAAGAAACAGTATCTAAGAATTTACTAAACTGTGTGTCGATTCTGACTGACTCACTAAATAAACATTTTCTTTTTCAGACTTTTAGATGTCTATAGTAGAAAACTTGAGTTGCAAATAAATATAATAGAAACATTTGAAAGCCAGTTTATGTTGACTGATATTTCTATCCTTGCTCCATGCCATTTGACCGATTTCTGTTGACTGAGGTTTCTGTCCTGCCCAGTCCTGCAGCCGTTCAGTCCCAAAGAAATACACCGAAGTCTACATTAATTATAAACTGATTGGCCTAGTAGCTCAGTCTCTTATAACTTATATTAGCCCATAATTCTTGTCTAAGTTATCCACGTGACTTGGTACCTTTTTCGGTGAGGCAGTCACATCTTGCTTTCTCTGTGTCTGGCTTCTTCTGTGTCTAGGTGACAACTGCAGACTGACTCTTTTCCCACAGTTCACCTGTTCTTATTGTCCCCTCTATACTTCTTACCTGGCTACTGGCCAATCAGCATTTTATTAAAAATAATACAAGTGACAGGGTACAGACTATTGTCCCACAGCAAGTTTATTTGCCCATTAGAAAGTAAAGATCCCAAGATATGTAGCTATTCACTTAACCATTATAAACATAGGCAGCTACCCCAAACTTGATCTAACTTTGTGCTGTTCTGTTATTATTATCAGGGGTAGTGCATGCATACACCTTGGATTGACTGCTTTCTTATGATTTCATTGTGTAGAAAAGAAATGTTTAAAGAAAGCATAGCTGGCAGCCCTCAAATCTTGAGTGTAGATAAACATTTAGCATTAAAGGAAATATTAAAAGGAAAAGTGTTCCCCATTGCCTTGCATGGCCAGACCTTTTTTCTTATTCTCCTCTGTTCCTATGTTTGATAATTCAGTATGTATCCACATTCTGCTTTTTACTTATTACCTCTTTGTGTGGGAGGAGGGAGTAGGGGCAGTGATGCTGGGCATTGGACAAGGACATCAGGCATGTGTGGCAAGCACCACTATTTTGGTGATGATGCTTTAAAAATGAGCATCAGATATTGCTTCTTAGCAGATACTTCTCTGCCTAAAGCTTTTGTGTTGTGTAGCTGTGCCGTTCAGGGTTCAACATGTCATGCCAGGCCTAGAATGGGCTTCCACATAGCTGAGTCTTGAGGGTCCCACGGCGCGTGTTGCACACTAAGTGAAACTTTTAACTAACACTTAAGCCACGTTCACTTGATAAAAAAAACGCAGAAAGTACGTCCTCGAGACAGACGACACGTTTTTCAATCTCAGCGCTTCTGCTGTCTGTTGCCCAACCGCTGCTGTTGGCAGCTCTGATGCTTCCTGTGCACTCTGGCTTCTAGCTGGTAGATGCTCCAGGTGATAGCAGCCAACACTGTCTTTGCCAAATGCCTTCTCGGGACTGGCGAGGTGCCTGAACAGTTAAGAGCACCTGTTGCTCTTGCAGAGGACCCTACTTTGGTTCCCAGCACCTGCATGGTGGCTTACAATTGTCTGTTAATACAAGTTCCAGGGAATCTGATACCCTCTTCCGACCTCTGCAAGTACTGCACATGGTACAAATAGATGCACCCATGCACAAAAAGAATAACTGTAACTTTTTAAAATAAAAATTACTTTTGAAGTGAAGACTACTATTCTAGAGAAATTGTTTATAAATGTCTTTAAATAAATATATAAGACAGTTTATTAATTTTAGATATAGTATAGGAAAAAACATTTTCTCTACTATCTAGAATATTTATTCCCTGGCCAGTGAGATGACTTGGTGGGTTGAGGTGTTTGCCACCAAGCCTAACCGCCTAGGTTCAATCCTTAGGACCCACATTGTCTTTTGACCTCCACATAAGCACCATGGCATGTGAACTCCCTCTCCCACATAAAGTAAATAAATTAAATGTGTTGAAAAATTAAAAAAATAAAAAAGCCATTATTCCCTGTAGTTGAAATTTTTATTTTTCTCTTGAAATCGTATAAACTGTTGGTTGTAGAAAACACAAAAGAACATAACACAGAAAGGGCGATGAGTTTAGTTTGGGGATATCCGAGCTGCACCTTCATTGCCTGGCACTCATAAGGAGAGCTTATGAGAGTCAGAAGGCAGAGGTAGTGTCTGACATGGGGGCCTGACTCCTGACTGTGGTGTGCATTGAAGTGATCTATGCCCACTCGCATGCTTTTAATTCCCAACTTCTTTATTCAAGATTGTTTATTAGCATATATTGACTATACATATGCATAACAGCAGGGTTTATTATTTAATATTATTATTATTTATGATCAGTATTAATACATATTGATCAAATTCGCAGCTCCCCCCTTACCTTCCCATGTCCCCCACTAGCTCTCCTTCTTAGCTTCCCTGCTTTCATGTTCCTGTCTTTGCCTTTGATTGCCCAGCAATTGCCGTTAGGGTTGTTTACAGGAGCGTGAGTATTCAACAGCTACACCACTGAAGAAGATAACTCTCCCTCCCCACGCAACCATTAACTGACATACATCCTCGAGGAGGGGTGGGGCCTCATCCCATCTTTTGCCTCCATGACAGGGTGTTGAGAGAGTTCATTCTTGTGCAGGTAATCACAGTTGTTGTAAATTCAAGAGTACAATATTCACAAAGAAATTAGCATTCCCACACTGTCCCTCTCCTTTTCACTCTATGTTCTTTCTACCCCTTCCTCGAGTGATGTTCCCTGAGGCTTAGGGGTGTGATGTAGATGCCCCACTCATGGCAGAGCTTTCCCCAGCCATTGTTCTCATCACTGTGACATTCAACTGCTCACAGCAGAAAGCAGCTTTTTCAACTGAAGCTGGCAGTAGTGCTATTCAGTAGGCATAGTGGTTACTGGGAAGGGAATTTGACAAACCTATCATGTCCATTTAGCAAAGCAACAGCAGTAGTTTTCCCCAGTGGTACCTATGATCTCCCCAACCACAGTCTTTTTTACCAGATATGAATTCCCTCCTGGCCTTCAGATCCACTCAGAAATCAGTTGGTTATTCTACATAACATATTTGCTACTATTGTACCAATGGACTCATGTTCTTTGACATAAGATGATGGATCAGAAGGTCAAGTTTGAAGGCATTCTTCCTATAACCTCCTTTTGTTAAACAATTTTTTTAAAGATTTATTTACTTATATGTATAGTGTTCTGCCTGCATATACACCTGCAGGCCAGAAGAGGGCATCAGATCTAATTAGAGATGGTTGTAAGCTACCATGTGGTTGCTGGGAATTAAATGCATGACCTTTGGAAGAACAGCCAGTGTTCTTAATCGTTAAGCCACCTCTCCAGCCCTTCCTATACTCTTATATTGAAGACAGTTTTCTTTTTAAAGAGAATCTTGCTTTGTTTCATCTTCCTCAATAACTTAATGAAGAGGAGAAAGGGTTCTGAAGGGTTTACTGAGTCATTGCATATAGAGGGTGCAGCCAGGTTTCAAGACAAGAAGCCTGTTTCTCATGCTGTGTTATCTGCCACCTCTTCCAGTTACTGGGAAGGTGTGACAACTGTTTCCCAGCAGGAAAGAGGAACAGCATCGGCTTTCGCGAGGCATGACTCAGCTTGGCTCTGCAGCTGTCCCCTTAAAGACAGTGTTAACTTTTTTGGTAGTCTATAAATTACTGTCAGCGGTCCCACCATCATGCTTCACTCAGGGTAAGCAGTGGCCATAATTTCCAGATATAAGCTAGAAACCATAAAAATGTAATTGTATAGGGAAAAGGATAAAATTATGATAATGCTGGCTTCTTGTTGAGTGCTCACTCTTTCATCCTTCCGGTAGGAGCCCTATTTGTTGACATAGCTTCTCATAGTGGAAATGGTGCCCAACTTGGGAATACATGGCAAAACTCGATTTTTTAGAAATAAATTCTACCACTAATTAGTAAAAAGTATGTATTTTGTTAGACTGAAATCCAGTTGAGATAATATTTTAGAAAAATGTTTATATTTTAAAACATATATTTTTCTATGCATTAATTCAAAGAAAATAGAGCCAAGTAAATTTACCTAGATAATGTCTGCTTCCAAAACTGATACATTCAGCACAATCACCTGCACATTGACTTTTCTCTTTCACCAGTGCAGTGTCTTGTGTTGGTGTTGGAGATCAAACCCAAGGCCTCTCACGTGTCGAGAGCCCTATTTCCCTGGAGCCATGCTGTCCGCAGCCCCGCTGGCTGGCTCTATGTGATGATCTGACTGTACCTGCTATGGCTTTTTCTTGACTTTTCCTACTTGAAAGTGTCTCCTGTGATCTAGAAATACCTGGAGCTCCTATGCTTTAAATTGTGAAATTTAATATATAGCACTTAATATTAGATAAGTTATTATTTATAAAAGCAATTAATAATTTATACAGTAGTATATGATTATATTTAATATATAACAAGCAGCATCTTATAGTTAATATTGGGGTGGAAGCAGTTAAGAGGCTGAGCTTGGGTTCTAAAGCTTTGGGCGAGACAAAGCAGCACATCATCCCATTTTAAAGTCCTTTTTAAATAAGGTCAGAAGATGCCCGCATGCTGGCTGCTATGTATCATGAGTGCCTGCATCATTTTCATGAGTCTGTTTGTCAGGACTTTCTGCTGAGCCTAAGGAATTGGAAGGAGCACTACTTATGCAGATGTTCAGATGAGATCTTTAAAGGAAAGGCCATTTGTTGTGCCTCTCCCTGTCCTCCCTTCAGAAAATACAACCCTATGATAGACATTTGCTTAGTACATGAATCATGAATCAGATGTTATGTACACTGTATTTCTCCAGTTTGATTTTATTGAAATTCAGTTTTTTACAGTCCCTGTACATGGTGTTAAACAACTGTGCTTCAGAAGAAGCCAGAAGTCAGTGGTGCGCTGCTGCAGTCACAGCTTCTTGGGGAGAGGGGAGAAGATTGCTTAAGCCCAGGACTTGACATAGTCCCTGTTCAGGAAAAAAAGAAATTAGAGCATTTCTTTTCTCTGTTAAATTCACATCGCTGTGTCGTCTTGAGAGTTCTTATCCTGTAATTTATGAGGAGAAATGAATTCAGATTTCTTATGAAGTTAAATATGAGTTAAAAAGAAGTTATTGGTCATATCATACTCATTTAAGATCGCTTTGTGCATAGTGGCATTTGGTTCTTTAAGATATATTTTGATAATTGTGTGTGTGTGGCCATGTGCCCGTCAAACTCTTGATACTTGGTTCTTTAAGACATTTCATACTGAGGCAGAAGATACAACTTAGTGGTTTGAGCACTTCTTGTTCTTGTAGAGGACCTGGGTTCAGTTCCCAGCATTTAACATGGCAGCTTATGATACCAGTAATTCTAGTGTCAGGGGATCGGACATCCTCTTCTGACCTTGGGCTGACACGTGTGTGGTGCACAAGCATACATGCAAGCAAAACACTATACATTAAAAACAAACAAAAACCTTCATACCATACAAACCACATTTTGTAAAATATTTTTAGTGTGTGTGTGTGTGTGCGTGCGTTATGTGTATGGGCACATGCATCCTAAGGTAGGCGTGTGGGAGTCCATTGCAGGAGTCAGTTGCCTTCCACTGTGGGAGTCTGTGGATTGAACTCAGTTGTCAGGCTTAGCTCCTGGTCCACTCAATGGTCCCAGTCCTAAAATTGTAAACTGTAATTTGGACATCTGACCAAGACCTCTTCTTGTGGACAGAAAGGTGATTTTCTTCCACCCAGTGGCCAGGCTTTTAAGATGTTTACCATTTTTAAAAGTGAAAATTCTAATGTTATATATAACATTATATATGATCTGAGTCTCTAGATCATTAGGATGTTCTCCAAATAATAGAAATGGTTCTATAGGACAGCCAATATTTTTATGCAGTTTCTCTTAGAGAAATAAAATTCTTTATCCTAGATCCGATATCCACTTCTCACAAGATGATTGCTGAGAAGGTTCTAGGAGGCGTCTGTTAAAAAAGCATTGCTTTCTGTTAACTAGAGATGTGCAAGCCAACCAGCGCGCCATAGCCTTAGTTGCAGAAATGATCCACACTGCTAGTCTGGTTCACGATGACGTTATTGACGACGCAAGTTCTCGAAGAGGAAAACATACAGTTAATAAAATCTGGGGTGAACAAAAGGTATGATGGTTTTTATTGTTGCTTTGGAAATAATTTCTTACCAAATTACATGTTATGGGATTGCATTTGCATTTCAGATTTATAAAACACTCTTGTTTGAACGTGGTCTTTGGAGTTTCAAATAAGTGTATGTGTTGTCTCTGTAACAGTGCTTGACAGCAAAAAACAAACTCGGTGTTTCTCCTTCTTAACTGTGTGTTTCATTAGAATTTCTTCTAGTTATAAGGAAAGGCATCTTCATGGTATTTCTTGGGGAATCCTACATTTTTCTGTTTTACTCAGATTGCCTACATTTATTTGAACCCATAAGCATGTGTTATTTGCTGCATGTTCAATAATATTAAATCAAATAAAAGCTACAAAAAAGAAAAATCTCAGAAATAGTGTTCTACTATCAAAATTTACCTTTTTAAAAGAGGTTGTAATAAGATTTGGTTTACACATACACACATATATGAAATTTTTATGTTTGATATATTAAATATATATCATGTTTTGCCTGCATGTATATTTGTACACCACTTGTGTGCCTGGTGTACAAGGAGGTCGGAAGAGGGCATTGGATCCCTTGGTAGCGGGTTAACACATTTTAGAAACCACCATGTGGGTATTGGGAATAAACCGTGGGTCCTCTGAAAGATCAGCCAGTTCTCTTAAATTCTGAGCCATCTCTCCAGCCCCCATATATTTATTTTTAAGCATATTTCTCATTAGCGTTGCTTTAAGGGAACATGTAAAATAGGGACTTGGAGTTGAGGATTTATAAATTACGGGTTAGAGAATCAATTGAACAAATGAAAAGGAGGATGTGCAGGTCGTCTGTGATCAGCACACATTCACCGCACCTGTGCCTCCTTTGGCCATCTCACCCCTCTTCATTGTTCTTCACCTACTTAGAGCATCGGTTCCCTCCTGTGCTGGCTGTGCTTTAATAGGAACGAGTTGTATAAAATGATAATTAGTAAGCTTATATTAAATAGCGCTATTCCAGATAATAGTGAACAGATAAATACTAAAATGATTGTTTTGGGCAGGGATGTAGCTCTGTTGGTAGAACACATGCTTAGCATATAAAGAAGCCCTGAATTCACCCCTAATGTCTCGTGAATGGGGTGTGCCCAGCACTCAGGAAATGGAGGCAGAAAAACCTGAAGTTCAAAGTTCACTTTGGCTGCATAACAAGTTGGAAGACAACTTGTTAACTTTTTAAAAAAATTAAATTTTCTAAGTGAAAATTTCTGTGAACTCTAACATTTCTGTGTAGCAGGAGTAGCACTGATGCATATCTTCAAATATGCAAAGTAATGTGCATGTGTAGACGGTGCACTTGGCTATACCATACAATCGGCTGCATATATATAACTGATAACTTGTTCTGGGCACATTAATATCCTGGGGATCAAACCTGGGCAGGCTAGGCAGGTGCTTAACTACTGACATAGTTGTGAACTTTTTATCTGTAAAGTTTTTTTTTCTCCTTTTTCCAGGCTGTTCTTGCCGGAGATTTAATTCTTTCTGCAGCTTCCATAGCTCTGGCACGAATTGGAAACACAGCTGTTATATCTATTTTAACCCAAGTTATTGAAGATTTGGTGCGTGGTAAGTTGATTCTGACTTTTCTGTTTTTTTCAATCCTGGGTTTAGCCAGGCAGTAAAAAGCATATCTCAAGTAACCATTCTCCTTCTTCATAGGTGAATTTCTTCAGCTAGGGTCGAAAGAAAATGAGAATGAAAGGTTTGCCCACTACCTTGAAAAGACCTTCAAGAAGACGGCCAGTCTCATAGCCAACAGTTGTAAAGCAGTATGTACGTTCTGTCTTTTTTCAAGTTGAAAAAAGCCCACACTGATTGTTTGGTAGTTAATCTCCTAGACATCTAATTAGAGAATCTTAAAATAGCATCCTAAAGTCTCAAAAAGTCAGAGAAAAGATTGCATCCCAGACAACTTCTGATGTGTTTTCATTTTTGTTGTCTTCTTTTGGTATGGAAATAATGAACTTTTCTTTCATCTTTCCTCCCCCAAGAATCAATGAAAATTCCTGCCAGTCTAGACTGGCAAGATAGCTCAGCAGGGAAACCCTTGCCACACATGCCTGAGGTTAGATCCCTGGAACCCAGGAGAGGAGAGAAGTGTTTCCAGGGGCTGTATTCTGGCTGTGGCACCTGTGTGTCCATACTGAAGCATGTAGTATATTTCCCAGTCGGAACAGTGTGTCATTCTGAGCGGCTCTCTGTCATAGTTGTTCTCACACATTGTTTCTGACATGTTACTCTTAAGAATAAATTATCACATATATATTTACCTAGGAGACAATTGTTTTAACTGTTAGATTCCACTAGTATTCTATATACTTGTTAATATATGCATAGTAGACCTAACCAATTATGTCTCCTATACAAAAGCTATAACTTTCAGAGTATAAATTGAGTAATAACATCTTCCTCTCGTAGTCTCCCTGGTCTTCCTCACCTCCTCTTTGTATTGTGCTCTCTGCCTCTAAGCTTTATCTAAATGTTTAAATGAGTGTCTTTGATCTGTGTATTAAAATGTGTGATAATCATTGTTAATTCACACATACAGAACAGTCTCTCCGTAAACTATCCTATGAGAAGCCATGTTGGCGTATGCCTATACCCTACCAGAAACAGGAAGATTGTGTACTCAAGGCCATCAGAGCTACATAGTGAGTTTAAGGCCACCCTGGGCTGTAGATGACATCTGTCTCAAAACAACACATTATCTAAGCATGTCTCAGACTATCAGGTTTAGTGGAGAAATCTGAGCAAGCAGTAGTGGTCCTGTCTAATAGTCCTGTACAATCAAGACAGTGAGAGAGACAAGGTCAAATGTAAACCATCTGAATGTTCTTAGCAAATTATACTAAAAGGGAACCTTTTTCTAGTCCCTTGATGATAATGCCTCTATTTTGCCATGCTACAAGGAACATATACACACTGGGTATGGTGACTCACGCCTTTAATCCCAGCACTCGGGAAGCAGAGGCAGGCAGATCTCCATGAGTTCAAAGCTAGCCTGGTCTACAGAATGAGTTCTGGAACAGCCAGTGATGTTACACAGAAAGACCCTGCCTCCAAACCTGGGGGGGAATTCAGTTAATGAAACAAACACTTATGGGCCAGAAAATATACAGAGCATTTGGAAGAGACCAAACCAGAGAGAAAAAAAGTAACTTGGACTTTTAAATGTATAACAGGCCCTTGTGAGCAGGGTTGTCGGAACCCGGAGGCCAGCAAGGACTTTGATATGCAACCACAGGGTATGTTAGCAGAGGCTTATGTCTCTTCTGCCAGAGGCAGGGGAAGGAAAACCTTTTTCACAAGTTCCTGAAAGATGCTAGGCTTTTATCTAACCACTAGAAATCTTCTGTAGTCTAGCTTTAGCACATTCTGGATATATGAACTGCCTGAGACATGACGAATAGTAAGAAACTAAAAAAAGAGCCGGGTGGTGGTGCCACACGCCTTTAATCCCAGCACTCGTGGATCTACAAGAGCCTGGTCTACAAGAGCTAGTACCAGGACAGGAACCAAAAGCTACGGAGAAACCCTGTCTTGAAAATCAAAAAAAAGAAAAAAAGAAACTAAAAAAAGAAAAGAAAATGGAACAGTACCTCCTCGGGAGCTCATGTGTTGAGAAGTTCATTGATAATTTCATAGGTTTACCACTGCAGTTTCGAACTACTAGCAGTAGGTGGAGATGCTGTTACTTCTAAAACACTAAATGAGTATTCTCTGGGCATGAAGGAGCATCTCTACATAGGACCAGGAAGAAAGGGAAGTAACCAAAAAATAAAAGTGTTTGTGCCAGCCACAAGGAGGCTTGCTCGCCGTGTCCTTGATGCCTATTAGAATAACAATAAAAGCCTAGAGCAGGCACTCTGGGTGTCCAAGGGTGGAAATATCCGAGAGGTTGTTAAGTATTTAAAATGACTATTTTTATGTGTTCTTGGTATTTAAGATGTAGACATCTGAGCAAAGACATTCATGCACAGGAAATTAGATGTGCCAAAGGGGAGATAAGAATTTGGAGATGATGCCCTAGTCTTGCTGCAGCTTGATGTGCTATGACAAGTTGATAGCCATGGGAGTTCTGTCCGTAGTATCCATGGGAAGAAGGAGTGTGTGGGGATAGAGTAGGGAGGGGAAACTGTGGTTGGACTGTAAAAACAAACAAGCAAACAAAACATTGGAGATGAAGATCATTACAGAAGTCTTGGGAGTCTATAATGCTGTGAGAATTTAAAGGAAGCTTATCAGAATTTTATTTGGTCTACTAAAGACACCATTTTCCCCTTACTGCCTCCCCACCCCTTACCTGTTATGTTTTGACCAAAAGAAATACTAAAATCCAGAGAGGGGCTGGCTAGAGAAACTGCTTTGAGGCTTTGAATGATATTAAAATCACTTGCTCAGTCAGTCTCCTGTATACAGACATTTAGGTTTCTAGAGAGTCATAAGCTACTGTGTGTGTGTGTGTGTGTGTGTGTGTTGGTGTAAATTTCGAGGCAGTATATGTATAATTTTGTTAAATACCACCAGATCTCCTTGCATAATGCATGTGCGTTACTGTCAGCCATTTGAGTAAATCTAAATAATGTTCAGATCATTGAGGACTATTTGACTTTTTATTTTATGTTGATTTTTTTTTTATTATATAAATATTTGGAGAGGTACCTGAATGGCACAGCACATGGTTTGTGGAAGCTTTTATTTGGCTTCTAGAGATCAAACCCAGGTTGCCAGGTTGTGGGGCAAGAGTATTTATAATTAAGGTCTGTTTTCATATCTATTTGTTTTTAATTGTCAATGTATTTTATATATTTATACTGTGTATTTGCAGGAGGCTTGTTATGTTTTGTTTGAGGTAAAATCTTGCCCTGAATTCTAAACTGGCCTGTAACCCATGGTCTTCCTGCTTCAGCCTGGATTACTGAGATTCCTGATGCATAGTGTCGCCTCTAGATCTTTGTGATACAGCCTATGTTGCATCTATTTTCTCTCTACCTGTTTAGCATATTTATCTATAATGGTACAGACTTAAAGTCTCTACAGTATTTTATAATGTTTTTATTGTTTTCATGTGTATGGGTGTTTTGCCTGCTTGTGTGAATGTGCATTGTGTGTTTGTAGTGCCCACTGAGTTCAGAACAGGGTGTTAGATACCTTGAGACTAGAGTTGTAGATGGTTGTGAACAATATGTGGATGTTGGAATTGAACCTAGGTCCTCTGGACGAGCAGCCAGTGCTCTTGACTACAGAGCAGTCTTCTCCAGCCCTTCTACCCCTTTTTGTTTGTTTGTTTTGTTTTGAGACAAGGGTTTCACTACATAGTCCTGGCTGATCTGGAACTCTATGTTAGAACTCTCTGTTAGAAATACCCCTACTTCTGCCTCCTAAGTGCTGGATGAAAGATGTATGCCACCACAGTGTCTACACTATTTTAAACAAATAAGATGATAATACATACTATTTACCCATCAGAAAATATCTCTAATCTTACAGTGGTGTGAGTATACATTCCAAAGATAAGAGATTCTTCTCAAACTTTGCCCCCTCCAGTTCAAACAGTGCTTCTCAGTCTTTCTGAGATGAAGTTTGTGGGAATGGTGTTATAGATGGTCCTCAAGTGGCATCTACTTCAGGTAAAACAGTTGAGCTCCTCTTTCTTTGGGCTGATCATCTTTCATACTCCACCCACCTCCAGGAAGATGTGGGGAATCTCTCTGGTGCTGAATACAAGCACTGTCATACAGCTTGCCTTCTTGCCATTTTGTTCATTGTGCCATATTGTATCTGATTTTATACTTGTGACAGTTGTTTTCTGTCCCTTAACCTAGGTAGGAGAACCAGCACTCTTTACAGTGGTCTTCAAGCTGAAGAAAAATTTTGACTCTAAGTCAATAAGGAGTCCATTGCTGGGTTAGTATATATAAGCCAGGAAGGGACACAGTACAGACAGAGCTCAGCTTGTGCTAGCAGGCCTGGGCGACTTTGTTGATCCCTTCCGGCTTCAGTTGTGTCATTAGAGGCAGCAAAGCTGACTAAGAGAACACTCTTTAGAGCCAGGCATTTGGATTTAGGTTCTGATTTCTGCATGTCTTAGCTATATAACGCCTGGAATATTCAACACCTCAGTCCTCGAAGCTCATAAGTAAGTAAATAAGAAATTTTAGGATAGTGCATGGTGAATACCCAGAATTGGTTAGATTTTATCATCATTAGCCACAAAAGTATTTATGAGCTATTGTGAAACCTAAGTTCTAATGCTAGTTCCGTGTACCACACACAAGTGATAATTCATTGACTTTAAAAAGTCATTTTCCATTTATTTTAATTTTCTTGAAGGAACTTTCTGTTTCTGGGTATCTGACTTTATGTTGAGAAGATAGCATTAATCTCACTACTGTAGATTGCTTCATTAGTTCTTTCTGCTTGGGGGGTGGGATCATTTTGTTCTGAGTTTAGCATATCCAGCTATCTGAACATTGTCTTTCTCTCACTCTGACCCAGCTTGGTGCATATCTTGACTTCTTTTCTAAGTTGACCTCCATGTGGCTCACATAATAGTTGAAAAGAGCCCTTCCTCAGAGGCCATGGATTATAGGTCTTTGCCTTTGAAAACACTTAAGACTTTATTATTCACTCAGGTGTCTGTCTGGCCTTTCTGGTGTGTCTTGAATCCTGCTCTGCCAGCACTACAGCTGCATACTCTATCAAGTCATCAGAAGGTATTGCCAGGGCTGAGGTGGGCAGAGTGCTAGAGCACTGCAAAGCCATGGACTTGATCCTCAGCACCAAAAGGGAAAACAACAAAAATTATAGCTAGCAGATCCTCCTGCCTGCATCCTATGGATGCAGAGAAGAGAAGGGGGGTATTTTGTTTTCTGACTCAACTGTGTAGCCTAGGCTAGCCTCAATTTTGCAATCTTCCTGCCTCACCTCCATGTCCAGCTAAACAAGAGGGTCATTTTCTTTCTTTCTCCTCTTCTTTTATTCTGCCTATTGTGCAGAGCCCAAACCAATATGCTGGGTAAATGCTTTACTACTGAGCTGTATCCACAGCACTGAAGGAGAGTCATTAATGGCAAATTTCTCCATTCTAAAGAGGTAAGAGTTTAATTTGTACACTTTACAGGTGAGGAACAGAAGGATCAGGCAGCAGATAAAGTCACTAGTAGTTGTTAGAGGCATACTCCAGCCTTGCAGGCTTCTGGAGAGCTTGTCCCACCTTCCCATGCTGATGTGTAGGAGGGATGTAGTCTCCAATAGAGAACCAAAGAAGTAGGCAGGGTGGTTATTTATCACCAGTGACCTATTTCATCTGGCTTCCTTGCTGAGCTTCAGCATAGACTTTCCTTTCAAACTGAGCAGAATGTCTCCCCAGTTCCCCTCTTATTCTTTCCCCGTCCTTGGTTTCTGAAAATGTGGCTGAGCCTGCTTAGCATGCTCAACAGTGCAGCAGGAAGTCGTGTAGATTAGCATGCTCAGCACTAACCAGATTCTGTTTGAGGCTTTAGAAGTACTATTTCTCTCCTTTTTGGAAGGGTGGGGGATATAATCAAACAGTTCTAGTACAGTTAAATTACTTCTGATGAGAGAGCGATAGAAACAGTAGATCCAGGGAGGGTCCTTCTCATAATGAAGACTGAGAGTGAGGCTGTTAACAGACAGCAGAAAACAGCTGCATTGAGAAGAAGGGTAGCTGGTTGTGGTGACATATACCAGTTTTATTTGCTGAAGGAGGTGGAGGTAGAAGGATCACGAGAAAAAGTGTGATCACCAAAACTGACCCACTGATGAAGAGGTGCTTGACAATGTTGTATAGATGAGATTCTACCCCTGAAATGAGGGTGACTTCTCAGAGGTCATTAAAGCCAACAATTGCACTGATTGCTGGGAGCCAGCATTTTACACAATGGGACCTTGTTGTGTACCAGAAAGATTGGCTTAGCTTATTAGAAATTTTGTTTATGGTTCTTTGGAAGACTGTATCTTGTTTGAAAGAACTGGAGGAGGAAGGAAGCCAGCCAACACAAATCCAGTCCCTGACTCCATTTAAAGCTGGAGAAGAGACACCAGAGTGGCACCCACACTCTACACACACACATCACGCACACTCACAAATATTAAAATAAGTGGAAGAAAATGGGCTAGGGTTGTGCCTGGATGGTAGCGTGCTTGCCTAGTTTGCATGAGGCCCTGGACTCTATTCTCAAAACTGTATAAAAAGAAAACACCACTTTTTAATGTATTTGGTCTCCCTTAGGTGCCAGCATCCCGACTGTAACATAGGCTTGTTTCTTAAGGGATGTGTAAGTGGCTCTTTCTTCAGGGTCGGCTGCGTGTGTCTGGATGCTACAGCTTACCAGAATTTTTTTTTTCTTTTAGATTTATTTATTTATGTATACAGTATCCTGCCTGTAGGCCAGAAGAGGGCACCAGATCTCATTACAGATGGCTGTGAACCACCACATGGTTGCTGGGAATTGAACTCAGGACCTCTGGAAGAACAGTCCGTGCTCTTAACCTCTGAGCCATCTCTCCAGCCCCCAGCTTACCAAAATCTGTTTTTTATTTCAGGTCTCTGTCCTGGGCTGCCCCGATCCAGTGGTGCATGAGATTGCCTATCAGTATGGGAAAAATGTTGGAATAGCTTTTCAGGTCAGTCTTCCTGTTTGTGGGAACGGTGAAGGGTAGGCACAGCCAGCATTGCCCTCAGTGTAGAGCTTAAAGCAGGGAGGACAGTGGGTGTGACTCATTTCTCCTTTCACCAGCTCATAGATGACGTATTGGACTTCACCTCCTGCTCTGACCAGATGGGCAAGCCAACTTCCGCAGACCTGAAGCTAGGCTTAGCCACTGGCCCTGTCTTGTTTGCTTGCCAGCAGGTAGGTTGTATTTTCTTTGAAATACTGCTGAGGAGCCGTGCCTTTAGGCACAGCTGATGAGATGTGAGAAAAAGAACAGCTGGAGGCATTTAGATAAGGGACCACAGATTTTATCCTGGTTTCCTGAGATGTTAGGGTGTAATTGTACTTCCATAAACCTTATCTGTGAACACAGATTGTAATCTTTTTAGTTGTTGTAAGGGCTAGTTGATGTAATATTCACTATCTTGTAAATCAGAAAGGGCTAGTGGGATTTAATATGTTTTGGGTGTTACAAGGTTGACAGAGGTGTGACTCAAAGCCTCTTAAAGATACAGGAAGTGCCAAGGGTGTCTAAGTGTGAGAAATTCGTAAGTTCTAGGCATTTAATGGAACTTTTGCACCTTGAGAGAAGCCTTGGAGCCTCAGCCATTGCTTCAGAAGTGAAGAAGTCAATGCATTAGGACCACATAGTTCCTTCCTTTTCCAGATTGAGAGACTGTCAAGGAAGTAAGTAAAGCTGCTATCCTGTTGTTCATAAATATACATGAGATGCTTAGGAAGTGTCAAAGATGCTGCAATGACTGTCAAAGCAGCCATTTTCACAGCATCTTCTGGACCCTAGCCATATATATATGCTTTTGGCTATGCCAGATGCTACTTGAAATAAATGGGCCATTAGCTGTGATGGGGTGTGTTTAAAACAAATTATTCATCTGAGTGGTATTTAATCGGCTATTTATTAGTGTAATAAAGTGATCATCACCAACTACCTTTTTGCTCTAAAATTTTAAAAATTTTCGGGAGGTGCACACTCCTTTATTCCCAACACTTGGTAGGCAGAGGCAGGTGGATCTCTGTGAGTTTGAGGCCAGCCTGGTCTACAGAACAGGTTTCAGGACACCTCCAAAGCTATAGAGAAGACCTGTCTCAAAAAACCAAGGTGGGGACGACAAACTTTTCTCATTCTTCTCATAAATTTTGTTTGTATTCTTTAACATGTAAGTAATAATATCTCTAGAACAAAATAGCTCCATTTTGATATTAAAACCAATGACCTTCCTTATGATTAACTTCTGATTCGAGAAAGGGAAGAGATGATTTTCACCCTCTTTTTTAGCAGAGCTATTGTGGGTGATAGTGATTGATCCTAGAGGAGGCTGATGCCTGGATGGGGCCTAGGGACCATGGACATTCTCAGTCAACTAAAGGATAAATACTGAACAGAGACGATGGGACACTCAGAAACTCCTGTCATTACCACGCTCCATCTTCTCACAATTTTGAGGCCAAGTTAAGCGAAAGGTGTGCAGTTCAGATATAATAGCACAGACCTGTAACCCCAACACCCAGAGGTTGATGCAGGAGGATCATGAGTTTGAGAACAGTCTAGGCTACATATATTTAAAAAACAAAACTCAGATATTAAAAAAACGACAACAAAATATATACATGCTATGAATGGTGGGTCCCTTTTCCCATGAGACGGAGACTTATTAACTCACTAGCCCAATATTCAGGAAGATTATTAATATATATGCCAAGTTGAAAAAACATTTCAAGAAAATCTTTTGTACATTAAAGCTTTAGTGAGGAACATTTTATGTTAGGCCATAACCCCCTGCACATACACAGTATTCCTGAGTCATGTGAGTATAAAATGAAGGTATATCCGACAATAGAAAAGTTAGTCATTGGCCAGCATTTCTTGTACAATTTCAGGCCTTCATCATCTCACTCACAGGCTAATGTGCATGAGTAAACTTTCCCTGACTTAGTCTGTGAAGAGTTCTGGGTTGTTCTGCTTTTAGAAACCTCAACAATTATAAATGTTTTTCATGAGCTCCGTGAAACAAATGGACTAGACTGGCTTCTTTTGATGGTTTCATTACATCATTTCTAAAGGATCCAGTTTACTTTCCTCTACACAAAGGATTAATAGCTGATATGCATTCATAGATAATGGGACAAAATGAGAAAAGAAATGGAATGCACAGCTCTTACGATTGACCTGTCTATAAGACACAGCAGATGGGAAATTGCTGAGGCTTTATATTTGGTTGGTTGGTTGGTTGGTTAATTGTTCTTGAAGTAGGAGCAAGGAAAAGGAACAGAATGTTACCCAAACTGTGGTTTTATGTGCGCTTACTGGAAAATCCCAGAGTCACAAGTCACCCAGTTATTCTGACCAAACAGCACTTTTCTTGGTTTTGCCTGTGAGGCAATGAGAAAAAGAGTTAGAAGGCATAGTGCAGCCTCCAGAAGGAAACACATGATGAAGCTGAGCAGGAACAGTCTCTGGACAGGACTCATTTCACATTTTGGCAAATGGACCAAAAGTTAATCAAATATATATTTATACTTAGTCAAGCATGTATTCATAAATTGTTCTCAAAACCCTGAGTTTAGGATCTTTTATGGATTATACTGTTAAAAAGAGTTTCTTAGCAAGAAATCTGTCAAAAGTTCATGGGGCTTAAAATAACTTGGGTAAATCAATTTCAGAAAATAATGCAGGATTATACAGTATCTTGCTTTAATAAAACTGTGTTTATTTTAGTTTATAAAGGAGGCTTTCTTACATTGATCCTGATCTCACAATTCTGCTTTGTGGTATATAACTGTTTGTTCTATAAATGAAAATGATGCTCATGTCTGGCCAAAATGGAACATCTGGTAGATGGCACAGAAGGCCGTCTTTCCCAAGTCTTCTAAGAGTGGCATTCATTTTACTGTACTTGAATTGCTCCTGCAACTAACAGTGTGGATAATAGTACCCAGTAGGTCTACCCACAGACCAGGTAACTGGTATGTCATAGCACTGAAGATATACTGCACAAAGTATCTACTATTGTTAGTGATTCACAAGCACATTCACTAGAGTACTTGTGAGGTATTTGTAAACCTTTCCTTGGGCTGGTGTCTTGTCCACAGATTTGTCTTTGAACTAATCCATCTGCATAACACTGAAGGTCTTGCTCTGAGATTCTAGGCCTTTCCAAACTGGTGGCAGTCTCCTTGCCTCAGCCTCCCAAGTCATAGTATAATAGCCATGCCCACCAAACCTGGCTTTCCTTATCCTTTTTAATGCTGCTTGATATTAGAACTTGCTGGGCTAAGTTAACTGATTCTCCTATTTTTGATGCCTTTGAGAAGAATTTCCTGGTGGCCATTGTTCAGGCATTTGTTCCTGATGGTCAAGGTGTTTCAGGAGGCTGTGGCTCAGTGGTAGAGATTGTCTGGCATGTGTATGGCCCTGGGCTTGATTCTTGGTGTGCGTGTGTGTGACACACATACATACACACACGTTTCAGGATTTCTGAAGAGGTCCAGTGATTAAGTATATTCTTGTATAAATATTTTGTTTTCTTCAAGAGAAAAAACTTGAGCTCAGTTGAGTATTTGCCTAGCATGCACAAATCACTGGGCTCCATCACCAGCACTTGGGAGGTAGATGCAGAAAGACCAGAAATTCAATACATAGTGAGTTCAAGGCCATCCTGGGCCACTTGAGATTCTGTCAAACAAACAAAAAAATCCAAAAACATTGTCAAAGACCTTATTCACAAGTACAAACCAGAGCCAGAGGCAGATGTCTGGAATGGAATTACACACCGAAATAAGAAATCCATTTATCCTAAACAAGTCTCCATCCTTTTTTTTCTTAGAATCCTTGTACAGTAACATCTACCTGATTTGCTGTTTCAGGCTTTATAATATGAATTTCCATGGAAGTTTGAATGCGCATTTTCTGAAGTATGGTTATAGTAATGTCTGGCAGTTATTTTTGCTGTTTGTGATGCCCCAACAAGTAAAGAATTGATTAGCAATTTTGTCCTTTTTTTTCCTTGCTTAGATTTGCTGGTTCCCTTCCCTAAAGATAATATTTAATCACACAAATATGGGAACATGAGTAAGACACAGTGATACCTCATGTTGGAAAACAATGGGAGAAAACCGTCTGGCTTTCTATTTCGTCTATGTATTTTTTTTTTTTAATCGTCACATTATCTTTCTTGTTTTTTGTAGTCATCGCTCTGTGAATTATTTATTTTAGAAGGAAAACATTGAGTACTTTGTAAGGGAACAGGCAGCTGAGCAGTAACTGGAGTGCCCACCTTGTAGCATTAGTAAATAAACAGTCATGTTTCTTTTCATCTGGAATAGCAAAGTAGCGCTAGTGGATTCTTAGACTCCATATTTAATGCACTGAGAAAGCTTGCTGTATAAAGGAATCCTGAATACAGAAAATTTAACAAAAACAATTTCATTGAGTTACAGTTCTCATGCTAGGGAACTGAACCTGATTTCTAGGCACCATCAGCCTCCTAAGACTGTACCCATCAGTAGCTACTCCCCCATTTTCCTTACTCTAGCCCCAAGTAACCACCAATAGACTTCCAATATACGCAGAGGGTATAGACATTTCTTTTTAAGTATTTGCTTATTTAGTATGGTGTTTCCATGTTGTAGCATGGCTCCTTCCTATTTATACTTAAGCAAAGGTCTACTATAGTCACATTATGTTTCGATGACATGAGAAATGCTTGTGAAATACTCAGAAACAAAATAGAAGTATTTTCCTTTTTGGGTGAGATTAGTTTAAAAGTTCTTTTTAAAAGCTTTCCTTTCCTTGATAAGTCACTAGACCTAAATGTCAGGCTGCAGCCGTATTTCCAACCGCCATCACCAGCCCCTGCACCAGATGCTCAGGCTTATGCTATTGTGGTGACTCTTTGGTGTCACAATTCTCCAGGTCTGGGGCCGACTCATACTAGTGCAGTGATCAATCCCCCTTGCAGCTTTATGAGCAGATTTCAGAGTTAGCATCATACTCACGCACAGGTGCTTTCCTACTGTAAAACAGCGTGAGCAAGCAAAGGACACAGTCATCAAAATTGTTTTCTCACTGAATCTGGGGCAAGAGCCATCTTCCTGTTTCTCATTTCTCCCTCACATGTGGGGGGATGGGGGGGGAGGCTTCCTGAAGTTTGATATTTGCATATTAAAATTTGCATGCTATTTCAAAGAAGTAATGTAGTTGTTGGTGTTCACTGCAATTTTTTCTTCTTTAAAATTTTGTTTTCTTGGTGTTTTGACAGTAAAAGCACCAGAGAAACTACATATCAGCATATTTTATCACACATAACTCATACTAATAAAAGAAAAGCTCATGTATCAAAAACAGGGTAATTTACTAGATGCCTAAGACACCATCACATCTGCTTTAGGATATAGCCTAGAAATAGCCAGGTGGGGGTGAAGTCTTTAAAAACTGAAAGAAATGCCTAAGGATTTGACTTTTTAACCACCAGAATTATCTGACTTGATTTCTTGATTTGTTTCTTTATATGTTTTCATTAATATGCTTTTATTCTTAAAAGACCTAATTTTTAAAATATTTAAAAAATAAAATTCTTAAAAGACTAATGCAAATTCTTACTTAAGTTGCTAGCTCCTTCAATTCTGTAGGCATTTTAGCTGCCTTTACATGTTGACAACTTTGTTTTCAAATACATACCATTCTCGGGAAAGAATACCATTTATTGTTTGGTTAGAGCTTCTCTGTAAGCCCTATTTTCTTCTGCAGATTCCATGGTCACTGTTACAGGACAACTTATTTTGTCCTTCAGGCACAGTGCCGGGGAAAATGCTGTAAGCATCAATGTCTGGGGTCAGGCACACCCTCCCTCTTATTACATGGAACTGCAGGCTGCTAAAAATTAAGAAATTTCAAGCTAGGGTGGTTGCTGGCAGAACCTGGACATGGAACCTGGGTCTAGAAGTGATGTTTGTGTTGTCCTGGCTTGATGGTAGCCGTTCTCCTAAATAACTGCTGAGAAATGAAAAGGACAGAAGACATTTTTGTTAAGGCCTTTAAAAAATTCATATCGTGTACCTACACACAGGCGGGGAGACCGTGGCTGAGTGGGCTTTGCAGGAGTCGGTTTCTCTCCTGTTGTGAGTTGGGATCGCTCCAGCCATCAGACCCTGCAGCACGTCCACCCTTTTCTCCTATTTGATGCCACAGTGAGCTAGTTCTTGGACCAAACAGTGAACCTAGAAAGGCAGAAAAAAACAATTTCCTCCCCCATGAAGTCTCCAAGTCCGTGAGATTTTGTTTCTTGTGGTGTTAGGTATGAAACCAAAGCTCTGACATGCTGACCTGCCCCCTAAACCCTCTGATCTTATAATTCAGGACACTGACCTGGTTGGCTGATAACCTCTATCTCCTCTAATCCAATGAATCTCAGCTTTGCTATGCATTAAAAAAATCAGGGAAGTTCTAGTAATCATGACATCAGTATAATCAGATTTGCCCTGTATACAAGCAGATGTTTACAGTGGCAGTCAACAGTCTGTAATTCCTAACCCCTTCCTAGAGCAGTGGTCCTAGACCAGCAGTATCAACATCACCTGGAAATTCATTAACAAGGCATTCTCAATTCATATCCTACTGAATCAGAACCGAGGGAACCTCAAAGTACAGTACTTTGAAATCCTGAAATGCACTCAGAACTGGACTACGGATAGAACATTAGGGTGTTTGATGCGTATATGCCTGCTTGTCTGTATGTCCACCACATATGTGCAGGGCCCTTGGAGGCCCGCAGAGTGTCAGGTCTAATGGAGGTGGAGTTGTAAGAGCATGGTAGGCTGCATGATGTGGCTGACACCCAATACAAGAGCACCGAGTGTTCCAACTGTTGAGCTATCTCCAGTATCCATTTAAAATTTTTCTATATAATTACAAACAAGTATTAAAATTCTTCATTCATCCAGGAATAATAAATAGATTTCCCTTCTTTATGGTTAGTTCCCAGAAATGAATGCTATGATAATGAGGCGGTTCAGCTTGCCAGGGGATGTGGACAGAGCCCGACAGTATGTATTAGAGGTAAGACTACTGTTGTGCGTATGCATGTGGAAGTCAGAGGGCAATTGGTAAGACATTTTTGTTGTTGGTGGTGGTTTTTTTGGTTGTTGTTTCTGAAGACAGGGATTATTTGTAGCTTTGGATCCTGTCCTGAACTAGCTTTTGTAGAACAGGCTGGCTTCGAGCTCACCGAGATCTGCCTGCCTCTGCCTCCCTGGGATTAAAGGTGTGCACCACCTACCATGTGTGTCTCAAAGATCAATCAAGTTTGGTAGCAGGCACCTTATTAAGCACCTTTACTAATTGAGGCATCTTCACACACACACACACACACACACACACACACACACACACACACACACACTGGTAAGACCATTTAAAAATACAGAAGGCAACAGTAGGTAGTTACAAAAAATTTTTTAGATACAGAGCCAAGTTGGTCAACCCTTGCTTAGTTTGACAAAAACTAGGAAAGGGGCTCATAAACAACAAACAAATAACAACAACCAAAAAACCAGCTTATCTACTTTTCCATTAATTCCAGTGCCTGTGCGCTATATTTGCAGGAGTTGGTTCTCATCTTGCACCATGTATGTCCTAAGAGATTGAATTCGCTTAAGCATGGCAGCGAGCTCCTTCACCTACTGAGCCATCTCATTAACCGAAGAAAGCTCAATTAATATAATTATTATATTAGATTTCCCTTCAGTGATACTTCTATGCAGTCAAGGCCAAGGAGACCTGCTAGGCTAGAGTAAGCTTTGATGTGTCCTTGAGTATCATTACTGTACTCTGAGGCCGGCCCCAGCCTTGTCCAAAGCTTCCTTCCTATAACTAGACAGTTACGGTAGCCTTCCCTACTAAAGTAGGTTATTGAACACAATTTGAAACCAGCATAGTGAACTATACATTCATGAAGGTTTTTCTTTCAAAGGGAGAACCATTTACTCTGTTCAGGACCTAGAGGCTCATTTTAAACATATTGCTGCATATCTTCAGAACTTTCTCACAGATACCCAAAGTTTTATTTTTTAAATAATTTCCAGAACCAATGAGATAGATATTTCCAGTGCCAGTGGGTAAAGGTACTTGCTGCAAAGCCTGATGACGCAAGAGACCCATATGATGGAAGGAGAAAACTCTTGCAAGTTTTCCTGTTCCGCCACATGTGCTCTATCATGTGCATGCCCACACCCACACACTCAACACATAAATTCAGTGTTTTTGTAAAGAATGATCGGTTTCCAAATTCATAGTTATCTGGAGGCTACGGGTTATATACATGGAATACAGTAAGCAAACTATTAATAACAAATGTTTCCAGTGTTTTAGTGAGTGTTTGACAGTGCTATAAAAGGCTCAAATCTAGTATCCATCAGAGGGGCTCTGGCCTTAGAAAGAGTGCAGCCATCATTTGGTACCCTTGAGGGTTACAGAACTGCTCCTTGGATATCAAAGATGCATGAGTGTTTAAAGCTACTTACATCAAATGTCAGAATATTGCTTTGTACTTTAAACCATTTTGGGATTGTTTCTAATAGCTAATTGTGATATAAATGCAACTGATATTGTTTAGAGAATGATGACAAATCTGTGTACATGCTCAGGTGTGTCCAAAAACATGGTTATAGAAAGCTAATCAAAGTCTCTAGTGAATAATTGTAGTTCTTATAGTAAAGTATGTGTGGACAACTCAGGATTACTAAAGAGTTGATTAAAACTGAGCAGAAGACAATGTGAATAGAAAAGACACTGAAAACTCAAATAGGAAAATCTATAAGGATAACAAATTCTTAAAACAAGACTTAAAAAAAAAAAAAAAAAACCTCCCTGGTGCTAGATACTAAACAGAACTTTGCACGTTAGCAAGTGCTCTACCACTGAGCATCTCATTTCCAGCCCATTATTTGACTCAAATAGAATGGAAAATAATTCCAACAACTGGCAAATGGGATTATATGTAAAAGCTTCTGCACGATCAACAGACAGCATACAAAATAGAAAAAAAACTGCCAACTATACACACTATAAATTTAACACCCAAAATATATAAAGAACTGCAAAAATTGAATGCTAATTTAAGCATTTACTAAGTAGGCTAATGAACTAAACAGATGATTCTCAAAAGAAATACAAATGGCCAGTAAGTATTTGGAAATGTGTTCAACATTCTTAAAAATTAGGGAAATGCACGTTGAAACTGAGACTCCATCTTAGCCACCATCAGAATGGCTATTATCAAGAACAGAAGTAATGATAAAGGCTGATGAGGGTGCAGGGAAAGGGAACAGAAACTCCTGTGGCCACTGTGGGAGTCAGCAGAGAACTACCGTATATGTTTGCTTCATAGCACCTATGTCTGATAGCTCAGCTGCCTGTGACTCCAGTTCCAAGAGCAGAGACATCTTCTAGTCTACATGGCATACCCACATATAGGCATACACATAATTTTTAAAAAATATTTAAAAATTATGATATTTGCAGGAAAATGGATAGAACTAGAGATCATTATGTCAGGCAAAATAAGTCAGTCTCAAACAGATCATTTCTCATTAAACAGACAAGATTTAAATTTGTACATGTATAGCTCGTAAGAGAAGAAAAAAAAGGGAGGAAGAGTAAATGGAATGTTTACATAAAAGCAGAAAAGAGTAACATTGAGAAAGAGGACCAGTTAGAAATGGTGACTGGGTGCAGCAGCATGAGGGATCAGTAAGAACAAGTGTAACAATGTGTGTGTATGGCAACCTGGAGATCTCTACTAAGTCAAATCAATCATTCGCTACATCTTTAGCTAAGATGAAGTCATACATAGAGAATAAAAGTACATACCTTTAATCCTAGGACTTGGAAGGCAAAGGCAGGTGGATTTCTGAGTCTGAGGCCAGCCAGAGGTACATAATGAAATACTGTCTCAAAAAGAAAGTGGTTTCTTTCTCACATACCCTTTGAAGTAGGTTATTTGTGCAGGTATATGTGTTTAAACATCAAGCAAGAGAAAGAAAGCATGCTGCTTTGCAAGATGGCACAGAAAACTCTTGTTTTGAGCAAAGCTTTTCAGCCATATACTAGGAATATTATATTCTAAGTAACAGTGGTTGAGAGCTATGGAGAAGGGCTGGAGAGATGGCTCAGCCACTAAAGGCTAGTCTCCCAACCAAAACTATAAGAGAACCATGAAAAGGAAGTGCTTTATTATACAACTTAATTCCACAGAGGGAAAAATGTTTTATTAATGTCCGGCTTCTAGAAAAAAAACCAACATTAGAAACATAGTTCCAGAATGTAACTATCGCACAGAGAGGACATGAGCAATGGTGTCCTCACACAAGAGGAAATCAGAAGTAATTCCTCCATGATAGTAAAGGTAATTCACAGACCAGCTGAAGACAGTGATCCCATGATTCGATTAGCAAACGCTGGGGATGAGCTGTCATTTCCAATATGAAAGGTATTTTCATCACAGACCCTTTGGGTTTGCATTTTAAAATGGGACAATCTTTTATATAGATAGAACTCTGAAAAACTTCTAATGCGTCAGTAAAGGTAACAGAAAATGGCTGGCTGCTTGACAGAGTTGACTTCTGTGTGCGCTAACCAAACTAAAGCATGTTCCCATATGAAAAAGGATGTAAAGTATATAGAAGCAGCCGCCACCTGCCAGAAAGAGAACATCAGGACACAGTATGATTATTAACTGTACAGCTCATCGAATCTCACTGTGTTTTATCTATCGTGGCAGCATTCCTGGAGCTCATCAGTGATCTATGTTTTCTTGTCTCCTGTAGAGTGATGGCGTGCAACAGACAACCTACCTCGCCCAGCGGTACTGCCATGAAGCAGTGAGGGAGATCAGGAAACTTAGACCATCCACAGAAAGGGATGCCCTCATCCAGCTTTCAGAAAGTGTGCTCACAAGAGATAAATGACAAATTTTTCTGTTCTTCCCGGCAGCTATTTTACCAGACTGTGCCTAATGAATTTTGTGAAACACTATTTGCTCCACCTGCAGATAACCAAAAATCACTTTAGGAAATAATTTCAACCTTATTGATGGGCAATTTTTTTTTTATTGGCAAAGTTTTTCAGAAAACTTTTTAAATGTAATTAAACCAGTGTCACTATAGTCCTATAAAGTCTAATTGAGGTATCCTGATGGTTATGTGTGGCACTGTACACTGTTAATGCCCACATGGAAAGCCATTACACAAATAAATAATCAACGTTAAAATTCAAGTGGTTTGTCTTTGTTTCATAAGAATTTCAGGGAATTTTGAAGTCTGTACTTAAATTTAAATCCACATTAGTTATGTTTTAACAATATCCAACTTTTTTCATAGAGGAACATAGTTTATTATAAAAGACTGTAGATAAAATTTAGACAACAGGTTATTTACAAATTAAGAAAACATTCTGCTTCAAAAAGAAAAGGCATAATATAGCTATCTGATCACTAATGACATACTTTAAAAATAACAAAGGTAAATAAAATATATATGAAATAGTTGATGATTTGGTAGAAACAATGGTCTTTAGTTTTCAGAAATACTTTGTACTGCTCTCATCATTATTATGCTGCCATAAGTCTGTAACCCTCAATACATAGAAACCCACACTTGTGTGATCTACTGTAATATCCTAAGCAGTACAGAATTATACACAAGACAAACAGCCCTAAGATCCCTCTCACCCTCCCTTAAGTCAAGGAGACACACAAAGTGCATGTGTTGCATTTCAGTTACAATACAGACCTGCCTGTTACCTGTTTACAGGTAATACATGGCCTACTTTCTTTTCCAATTGTATGTTGCTAGTGCCGTGTAATGGGCTACCTATGCCTATCCACAAATTAATTGTATTCACTTTTACAATACATAAGAGATTTTCCTTTTATTGAACCAGTGTAAATTCATTTTAATCAAAACCACAGGAATAGTGTAGCATCCCTTTGGATTTTTATCTACAGAATGATGTGTTCACTTTGACAGAATGTTCTAGCTCCAAAATCTGCAAAATTCTGTCACATCATGCTGTTCGGACACATGTTTCCAAGTTAATACACTGAGAAAATAGGACCATAATTCTGCAATAAACCTTTTGTGTTGGGATTATGTGTGCATGCATACGCACGAGCACACATGTTTAAAGCAAACCAGTAAAGGAGAGGACAAAATCCTTTGGTTTACTTATGTATTTATGAGTGGAAAAATTTATAATGCAAATTTCACTCATTAAAAAACTTAGATACAAATTACAACATTACAGATAATCTTTCATTTCACATGAAGAACTAAGAGACTCAAATATGAGTACTCCAGATAAATGTTACACAAATTGGAAGCATCTTGAATTGTTAAGTATCTTTCAATACATAAAATTTTATGCATGCTTTAAACACAGTATTCTTAAAAAATGAGACTTTAAATCAAAAGTATGACCAGCACCAGCATTTAAGTTTTCTGATTTTCCTATTAGTCTGACATAATGTTAGTGACCATGCTGTACTGAAACATGAAATGGTGCATTCTGAACCATGATTTGTTAAACATGATAACCCACATCCCCAGAATGTTTAGGCTGGTCATAAAGTTATCAAGGTGTGAGCACATATGCATAATCAATTACAGGCAGTCTCTGGTATAAACTGCTGTTCAGCAATATGTGAACTGCCTCTAAAATGTATGCTTACAGGTAGACATCCAAATACCAATAAAACATTGTCCTGAAAATATGGGCACATTTTAAACATTAAGACAACCTGTTAACCATATAGTCCCACAGTATGACGGAGTAATAACCTACATGAGAAGAAAAAAGGGAAAAAAAGAAAAACCTAATCAGTATAGTGCATGATCGATTCAACATAGTTCCCAGGAAAGAGTCCAGTCACTCGGTTGCAAACTCCTTCAAACCAACCATCATCATTCTTCTTTATGACATAGATGATTGCACCCTCTTTAAAGGACAGCTCGTCATCCTTGTCTTTTGTATAATCATATATTGCAACAACTGTGGAGAAAACAAAGGACGACATGAGAGTGCTGTCTCCAACAGTTCCTTCAGTTTGTAAACGTAATACAAATCTGTGTGTAGTACAGGAAAACCAAGTACATGACAGAGAGAACTGACTGTTAGTTGTCTTCTGACCCTCACACACAGACTGTGCCATGTACCCCTTCCCAATAAAATAAATGAAGTCACAATTTTAAAATCTTGGAATTTGGGTGGTTACTTTTGCTTTTCTGAGATAAGACTTCACTATTTAGCTTAGGCTGGTCTCACTACCTCAATATCCCAAGACCTAGGATTAGAGGCCTACACTCCCATAGATCCACATGATGAATTTAGGATTTATTTCTATTCATTCAGACAAATATCCATGGAGTATCTAAGCAAAGTACCATACCTATTTTGACCATACCACACATTAATAAATCTTATTGTGAGGTAAGTCTATTTATTTAAAATTCTATGCTAATTGATAGAGATACATTCAGGTTTAAAAAAAAAAAGTCTCACTTTAAAGTTTAATTTTAAAAATGGAAAAGGGAAAAACCCAGAAAGTGTGATACAAGTTCAAAATACTCTTCCTTTCTTGTTAAAGTATCCTTTCCAGATGTTATAGAAAGGTCAAACAACTTATATACTACTTTCTGAACTATTGTTTTGTGAATTTAAATATTCCCTTAAATCCATTTTATAACAATTCTAAAATTACATGTAATTTTCTACTATATATGAATAGTAAATTTACTATTGTTTTGTGAATTTAAATATTCCCTTAAATCCATTTTATAACAATTCTAAAATTACATGTAATTTTCAACTACATATGAATAGTAAATTTATAACTTATGTGATTTTTTTTATTTACTTCATATATTCAAAACAGTCTTTTTTCTTAAAAATAAGGAATTTTATGAGCATACATGATGCTTATATTTTTGCCCTTAAGAAACTCTAAATTAGTGAAATAGGGAAAGTACATTTTAAGTTAGGCAGTCTTTTCTCCTTACAAAATACTGTAGTGAGGAGATCCAACAAGCCCAGTTCCTTCCATTTTAGTTCTACAGCAAATCACAGTATGCTGATTATGATCTCAATAGTACATCAAGGCCTAAAAATACAACACTATCAAAAGTATCTCTGGCTACATAACAAGCTAAAAGGATCGAGTGATTTGCAAGGGGTTAACAATTACTAATTAAGAAAACCTCTTCACATAGTCTTTGGTAATCCTCTTGTATCTAGAGTCACAGGAGGTGAGACTCAGTGCTGCAGACTGACTTTAAACTGGCTGACAAATGCCTGAAACGGTCAAGTCTGAACAAAACGATAACCACTTCATGCTCTTAGATCCTCCTATGCAAATGGCTCAGAAAGGTAATGAACCACAGTTTTCAAGGTTTCCTCTGTAACAGTCTTATCTCAATGTACATACTTCCTCATGATTTCTCTTAGCGCTATTTAACCACTAATGATAATCTGATGTTGATTCTATTCTCCTGGATCTAATCAAGATCTCCTATATGTAAGTACTGTAAGGCTATCTGGCATTTAAATCTATTAGTTTAATGCAGAGAATAGGATCACATCAGAATACATTAGGTTAAATTTGAGTTAGCAATAAGAACAAGAAGTCATGTCATAAATTGTTGGTCCAAATTAAACAAGTTTCACAAAAGGGGCTATTACAACTTTAAATATATGTGTACTTGCTAGCCTATGTTAATTTGTACACGTTAGAACATATCTGGGAAGAGAGACTCTTAACTGAGAAAATGTCTCCATAAGATTGGCCTGTAAGTCTGTGGTGCATTTTCTTGACTGGTGATTGATGTGGGTGACCAGGAGGTCCTGGATGCAATAAGAAAGTAGGCTGACCAAACTAGAAGTAAGCCCGGAACCACTCCTCCATGACTTCCTCCCCAAGCTGATTTCAATCATGCTGTTTTACCACAGCAACATAAATCCTAACTATGCCAATAATCCTACTAAATCTCTTCCTTGCCCGTGGCAGAAGGATGAGATAATCACTATGCAGGTGAGGCTGTTGTCAAATTTATAATGATCCCCCTGCCTCTGCTTCCTGGGTGCTGTGGTTCAGGTATATGCAATCATGCCTAGCTTAAGTCACTAAATGTTACTTTGATTTACAATAGAAGTCAACAATAATAGCCCACTGGCAAGTCTAACCCATCACACCATTTTTTTAGATTTAAATCTTATTTTCTGTGTGAGTGATTTTGTTTGCATGTGTGCCTGGTGCCAGGAGTCAGAAGGCATCAAATCTCCTGGAACTGGAGTTATAGATGGGTGTAAGCCACCACGTGAGTGCTGGGAACTGAACCTGGGTCTCATCTACAAGAGCAAGAAATGCTCCAAACTCTAAGTCATCTCTCCAGCGTCCCACTGCCAATTTGTGCAAATAAAGTTTTACTGAACACACCTACATCTACTCACATACATATTAACACCCAACTTTGAACTACATCTCCTCACATATATAATAACTCCTGACTTGGAGCTGCAAAACAGTTAAATCAATATAGCCAACAAAATCTAAGCTACACCTGGCCTTGAATAAAGGAGGGGGGAGGAACAAGAGGGAAACAGAAAGGAGAAGGGACAAGGGAAAAAGTGGGGACAGAGGGAAATGCTTAAAGTCATTTAGCTCAGTTTTGTGCCTTAACTGATCTACAAAACACAGTCAAGTCAATCTGAAGTCAGAAGCATACATCTAACAGTCCCAGTGGCCCAGAATGACCAGCTCAACTACCCACTGTGGGCCTGGGGATGGCCCACACTAGCATCTACCCTAACCTCTAGGACCTTCTGGAGCTGATGAAGGGACTGATCCTGTGGAACCATAACCCCAGCATCTCCAAGACTTTGGGGGCAGCCTTGGGATATCTCAGAGATAGATGTTCCAGTGAGGATCCAGTGATGACGGTATACCAGGAGCAGTGAGCCAGACCAGTGACTCCCTGCAATGAACATTTACAAGTAGAGTTATGTGGTCAAAAGGATACACTGTGGTTCCAATGCCACCAGGACAAATGAAGAGGTGTTGGAGAGGCAGGAAAGATGGAAGATCGAAGAGGTTACTTTTGTTGTTCTATTTTTCTTTTGCTTTTGTTTGCTTGCTTGTTTTGTTGTTTTTTAATTTTAGTTTGGACGGCTGCTTCAGGGTGAGAGGGAAGAATATGAAGGGACTGGGAGGTGAGCGGAACTGGTTGCATGATGTGAAATTTCCAAAGATTCAATAAAGAAATTTTGTTTAAAAAAAAAAAAGAAATCTAAGAATTTAAATTGAAAACAAAGAATCCTTTGCATACTGCTGAAGAACACAAGGCATATGCAGCGCCGTCTTGACTGGTAAGACAGATAAAAAATGCTGTTTTTTTCTTTTTTCACAGCAATAAACTCTGTAATTGCATTATTGACTTCAAATCAGTCCACAGTAGCAGTACCTCACCTTTCTCAATATAGTTCTTGGGAGCCCATGCAGGATCCCCGTCTGCATAGGGGTCACTGTACTGAACTACCGCAGCTTCCTCGTCTTCATAGTCCACCGGAGGAGGCGGTGGAGGAGGTGGAGAGTCATCAAACATGGGAATGTCATCCGGCGGAGGTGGGGGTGGTGGAGTTGGGCTATCAGCAACTAAAAGGAGTCAAACAAGTAATTAATCTAAGTGGAAAAAAATTTAATGAACAGAATTTTAACAAAAGTCTAACTCAGACAGCATGCACTATATAAAACATGCAGTGATTAGAAATAAAAGCTTGGTGTGTTAAAGTTCATACTGCTTTTAAGCACAATTTTGCAATAATAAAATGAGCTAAATTAAGCATAAAAAGGACTACAAATTAATGAATGCAAGAGGTTAGGATACAGTATCCTACTTTCATAAGAAATACAGGAGTAAAGAATTTTCCTTATCTTAAGACTCAGGTCAAAACAAATGTTCCACTAGGCCTAATAGCCTAATGGACCCTGTCATTTGGAATACTGCTAAATATCTTACAATAGAGGTTTGATCGTTTTTAACTACATAAAAATTAATATATAATTTACTACATATATTAATTTTTACTACATATATAATTTTGGCTTAATTATTAATAGTACCCTAGAAACTACATCTCAAGTGGACATATTTTTTATTTAATTATTATTAATTTGCTTTAATAGGGAGAAAAGCCAAGTTTGTAGTATCAGGTTTGCATCTTTGTGTAAGGTTTTGTTTGTTTGTTTTCTATTTAAATTTTAACAAAACAACAAAAAATAATTTCCAACTAGAAAACTGCATTAAATATGTTTAAAGGAATGTTATACTCATAGTCAAAATTTAATGCAGAAAGAAAATTAAGATTCTGCATCATGACTAATAAAACAACCATGAGATGAGATCAGATCCTAAAGATCCAATTTTCTAACTTAAACACAATTCAGATTTAAACATAAAATGTTGAAGATGTAGTAATTTTAAAAGAAACAAAAATAAACAAACAATAAAAATGAATCACACTTCAGTTTCTAGATAGCTGCTAGGGTGTGTGTGTACGCATGCTTCAAAAAATCTAGGGTATTAACAGTGACATGGGTGTGTGGGACTAGAATTGTACTTATCGGGCCACCAATCTTCTAGTATTAGAAATTCAAAGCCAACACAACTAATGCTCAAACCTCTACTCCACAAATTCCTTTAAAAGTTTAGGGGGGGGGGGGAAATCAGGCAAGGTGGTGCATGTCTTAATCCCAGCACTTGGGAAATAGAAACTGGTTGATCTCTGTGAGTGCAAGGCCAGCCTGGTCTACACAGCTAATTCTATGCCATCCATAGCTCTACAAAGAGGCTCTTGATTTGTTTTATTTTGCTTTTAAAGAATGAATGAGAGAGAAGGGAGGAAGGAAAACATTATTATATAATTGGTGTATGTTTTAAAGGTTATTCTTCCTGACAGGGTATGTTGAAAATATCCCCAAGTTTTAAATCATGCAAAGAACAGCCCTACTTCATTACTAGTTAAATTCTGTGATTTCTACTTTTATTCTTGAAACGAAGAAGATAATAAAAAAATCAATTCTATGTGATGATGCTCACTGAGAGCAATCTACCAAGTCTACAGCTGGGCTGCTGTCCACCACATGCATGATTCTGCCTGTACCTACATCCTCCATAAAGCTTTCTGGTGTGGAGGAAGAGAAGAGGTATGAACCCATCCTGACATCAAATAACCACAGCACATACCTTCATTTGGCTTCGTGTATGCACTGCGTATTTGTTGGGTTCCCTAAACTGCTGTCACTCTTACTCTTACAAGCACTAGTTGAAGATTACCACTCAACTGTCATTAAGTATATATTGACTTATCTTTAATTTTATGGAAAAAGTCTGGTCAGTTCAACTTTCTGCCCTAATGCTTTACCTACCACTATTCATATTTGCTCTAAAAGGCTTTCTGATGTTAATAATGAAAGGCATTAGTCATTAGGGGCTCATATCTTATGCCAGATTAGATTAAGCACTACATGCCTTTACTGTCACTTCCTCTAAGCACCAGAGGTATTTCAAAAGCACATAAAATATGTGCATTTCATAGAATACTTAAAGTGCAGATACAAAATAGGAATAAATTTGGAATATCAGTGATATGAGAATAACGACTCAACATCATGTGTTTATTAAAAAGAACAAAAATAGTTGTGAATCTGTTTGGCAATAATGTATATGAATACTGGATTTCTGTTCTTTTCAATTACCAATTAGTCAATGATCTCTAGACCCAAGAAGCACAATGGCTACTAAAATGATTTCCTAGCAATTCTTCATAATGGAGCAATGTAAAAAGATCATCTGGCACTTTCACTCTCTGACGGATTTAGTTTCTACTATCACTGGGCATGATGAACACACCTGCTGTCACATTACTTAGGAGTTAAGGCAGAAGGACTCTACTGCAAGGCCAGCCTGAGCGACACATTCCAGAACCCAGCAAACAAGAATGCAATTCATTGTTAAAACAACTGACCTAGCATGGACAAGCCCCTGGATACAACTACCAAGAGCATAAAAAGTGGGGAAAGGAGCAGCAGTGACTAGGAAGTTACCCTTACCACTTATTTTTTTAAACACCTAGATTCATTTAATTTTAAATATCTGAACTTTCAAAGTGAAGTTAGTAAGAAGGCACTCAGAAATTTCAAAATTCTAAATTTATGTTTTCAATAAGCCCCTTATATGTCACATGAAAGAAGAGACTTTGACTTAAACTGTTTGTATCCTTCCCAGAGCCTAGCATGTAACACTGAATAAAGATGGTGGAAGGGAGTGAATGAGAGAAGCGAATTAAGAGTCAGCAAAAGCTGACATAGAATTTGCCACAAATGTACTTTCCTGAGAGATGAGCTGCTCAAGTAGGTTGCTCACTACTCAAACAATCCTGAAATTTATTTTTAGGCAGATCCCAAATAAATTAGATCTAAATACTATCTTAATTTCAATGTTTGACACTGAATAATTCAGCAACTGTATTTTCCATTTGCCACACGATATTCACTCTGGGCAATGCAGAATTTTTTGTAACCTCAAAGGTAATGAGCAATGATATAGTCTACGTAGATTAATATACATGCTATAAATATCTAATGCAAGTTATTGAACCTAGTCTTCACTAAGATAAAACTTTAAGAAAGCAGACAGGTTTCTATTTGGCATATGAGCTCACAGGCCAGCACAGGTCACTTTTGGCCAGGGCATGAGGCAGACTCCACCATCCTTGTCAGTCCCTCAGACAGACAACATGCATATGACTCACTTATTCTTGGAGGTTAGTTTTTCAAAATAATTTTTTATATATGAGTGTTTTGCCTACCATGTACGTATGTGCATCACACAAGCGCAGAGCCCACAACATCAGGTCCTCCAGAAGTGGAGTGAGACTGTTGTAAGCTGCTATGTGGGTGCTGGGAACTGAACCCAGGGCCTCTGCGAGAGCAACAAGTGCTCTTAACCACTGAGCCATCTTTCTAGACTCCAAGACTCATTCTTAACAATGAAGCTTCATAAAGATCAGAATCTATAATCATTCTATTTTTTTCACATTTGTTTTGTGTATGTCTGGAAATCAGAGAACTTAGAGAAGTAGGTTCTCTCCTTCCACCATGTAGGCTCTGTAGATTAAACTCAGATCACCGAGCTTGATGACAAGGCCTTTCCCTACTGAACCAGTAGTCCCTTTCTAAAACACTGTGCTACTATGTGAGGAGGTACAGGCCTGTCTCAATTTTATGATACATGTACAGTATAATTATATCTTGACAATTCTGTTACGAGTACAGATGTTGTTGTTTTGGCTTCTTTATTTTTTTTAAGACAGGGTCTTACTATATAACCCAGAGTATACTCCAACACATGAAGATCTCCTACCTCAGCCTCCTAAGGGTTTAGGATTACAGGCATGCACCACCATATCCAGCTGCAAAAGGTTTTCTAATTCTCCAAGTTAACTATTAGGGATTTGCATTCCTGTATTTCAATACTCTTTGCTTGAAAATAGGCAAATAATGGATCTTATGTCTTAGCTCACTTTCAAAGTGATATGGGTCAGTAACCATGCACACAAGAGGAAAGAACGGAAGCCCGTGCTCTTCAGTGTCAGCACCGCACATCTGTACCTATTCTTCAAGGTAAGAAAGAAAAAGGTGACCATCAGCCATGCATGCTAGAGAAGACAGCCTCTAATCTGACAGCTGTGTTTCCAGACTTACTGTTTTCCTGCACCCTGGCCACGAAGCCTGTGAGAGGTATCTGTGGAGTCAACTGAGGCATGGGGGGAGGGGGTGGGGCAACAGAAACTGGCAGCAAGACACAGAATGGGGAACAAAACAGATATAGAAAGAAAAGAAAACAAACAAAAAGCAGAAGTCAGTTACAAGGACCACAAACACAAATAAGTATGCCAAGAACAGTCTGCAAATGAAAACAAACAAAACAAAAACAAACAAACAAACCCTGCTCCCTTCTTCAAGTTTTCCCCACAGAATCTGGAGCTAAGCTGCGCTCACTCACGGGGTAAGAGCATACAGTAACAAATGCACTTATTTTAACCTAGCATTACATTATTGGGGAACTTTTTAATTTACTACATAACATTTATTTTAGCACAATGTTTTTCAAATTTTAAAGAAACACTTCTAAAATATGTCACAATTAAATACCTACAACGCCTTCCAGAAATCTGTTTTTGCTGTAACTCTAAATACTAACAGATTTGTCTAGCTTTAACGTAATGTTGCAAATCTTAAACCAAATTAAGGCATAACAGTGGTTGATTACCTGTATAAATACATTGATAAATCAATCTATCAGTCACAAGTTCCCTTTAAAGAAGATTCTTACATATCTAAATTTACACACCTCTATGAGAAAACAAAATAAGATTTGTGTTACTTTTTAAGTTGGCAGCTTTATTTGTAAGAAATCAGCCCTAAATTGATTCCATGTACCTTATGATTGATTATTCAGCTTCTCAGGGGAAGTTATCAAACATCTTTTTTATGGATACTGAAAAAGGAAACTTAATCTCTCTCTAATCAGTCAAAATGTACAATTATTTGCATTATATTAATTTCAAGTGAGACCCTGGCTGGTTGGAAACGCGTTACCTTTGTCAGGAGATACTCTAGAGGAAATTGGTATTAAATGTCATTTGGCTAACAAATGTGTGAGAGAGTGGCGCTTTGTCTCATTTTAACAAGACAGCAACTGCTAAAGAGGACTCAGAAAGTCAACTGGTTTAAATGGAAAGAGCTGCCTTAGCAGTGGCCACCAACAAGTGATGTTACATTAACCAAGGAAAAGAACTTTATTGGTTCCCAAGAGCATTTTATCAAAATAATTTTCATCTAATGCACGATATAAATTTTTTGATAAGCATAAAAATGTGAGAGGTTCCAAGTTCAAAATTAGTACAATATGTGCAAAAGGTCATACAAATTTAAAAACAGCATTCAGCTCACTATCAGAAACTAGTCTTTCATTGTTACAGAAAAGACTCCTTAAAGGGTTAAAGGGTACTGATTTTAAAACAAACAGAAACAACTAAAAGTCTCCCCTTAGCCAAATAATTTTGAGTAGCTAGGCATGCTTGTTAGTAGTGGGAGAAGAAAGACAAGATGTGCTCTGAAAATGCTTGTCACCAGCACATCTACACAGAAGTGTGCACATCACAAACTAACACAGCCACACGCCAGTAAAACTACACCAGCAGTTCATACTGAAGGACAGCTGGATGAAACAAAACACACTTAACCTGATGCTAAGTTTGCCTTCCAGTTTCAAAAAAACACAGATATTCACTAAGGAAGAGTTCAGTCCCACAAAAAAGTTCAACTAGACAAGTGTGGACTGATAAAATAAAAACCCTATTTGCAGAGCAAATTAAAAGACAAGTGTGCGTGTGTGGGAAGGTAATGAACATAAAGACAGGATCTAAAAAATCAGAACATGGATAGAAGTTCATGAAACTAGTGGGATGAATAACTAATTCATCATGATGGCACACACCTTCAATCCCAGGCATTAGGGAACAAAGGCAGGCAGACCTCTGAATTCAGGGTCAGCCTGTTCTACACAGTGAGTTCTCAGACAGTCTGTCTCAAAAACAAACAAATAAAAAAAACCACCTACTGAGATAAATGATTGATTTGTTATCTATTTAGACACTAAGCTACCATTCAAAACCCAGTAAACTAAGTAAATATCAGCTAAGAGTTTAATATCTCTTAGTAGCTTGAATAAAAATTCTAGTCTGGAAAAAGGCTGTAAAAACCTGGAGTACTCTTTGAATATAGGCATTTTTGACAAAGTACCTTTCGATTTGCTGTAACCAATCACTCTGAAACTCAAAAATTTTAACAAAAAAATGGACAGTGTCCACTTAAGATAAACATGGTGGGGCTCGCCTGTCATCCTAACAAACAGGAGGGGCTCGCTCTAAGTTCAAGGCCAGTAAGAGTTAAGCAGCACCAGGCCTCCTAGGACTACAAAGCAGTGCCTTGTCAAAAATAAATAATAAGTGAATGAATGCATAAACACACACACACACACCACAAATATAAATAAAGAACCAAGAAAATCCCCCATGTAAATGCAGAGTGATCGTCATTCTTTTTATAGAACATTCAGTTCTAAATTCTAAAGTGGAAAAAAGCTGTCAGTCCATACCCACCATCTTCATGACAAAAATAAATATTGGACAACATACTTATTTCAAATTGTTTCCTTTTTGGATTTAGCATCTTCACATGGAAAGTGAACTCAATAACTATTGAGTATTGTATATTCAAACATTTTCTTTCTAATTCTAACCCTGTAAGATTTTCTAACCCTGTAAGATTTTAAACACTGGCTGTAATTAGTATTGGGATGTGCAATTTGAAGTGAACAGAAGAAAATCAAAAGAAAACCCTTCCCACCCATTTAAATTATTCAGAAGGAGAAAGTAAGCAGGCATTGTAAATGTTTTCAATTGAAAGCATTTCAGAAAAAGTCCACGACCTTAGAAGTGATAGTCAGCAATTTCTTTTTATTATTGTTTTTAAAAATAATCTTTGACTACGTTGGTGTCTTTATATCACTACTGAACCATCGAAATCATGCCCATAAAATTTCAGACTGTTTTGCTCTCTAGTTCAAATTATATTGTAGTAATATTAATAGCACATTAAAGCATTGGTGAATTTGGCTAGATTAAACATATTCAAGCAAACCTTGGAGAATAAGTGACTAGCAGCTGCTTTTAAGATGGTTATTCAAGAATTAGCATTCAAAAGCAAAAACAAACATGAAACAGCATGGCTTAAATTGTTGTCTATCACAGTTAAGAAGTCCAGTTCAAATAACCTCCTTCAAAAGGAGCTGTACTATTGCTGTATGCCTGCAAAACACAAGCTTACTTGAATTTTGAGAATAAAGTGGCCCTCCATTAACATGAGGCTGAGCAGAGAATTGGGCAGTCACAGAGGGAGTTCGTCTATATCCACCAGAAGATGTCGAAGAAGTGGTAGAGTTGTGCCGAGAAATCTGCCTGGTCATTGTGCCATACTGCGACCCAGGAGCTGAGCCAGGGGCTGCTGAAAAGCATTAGTTAAAGGCAACCAACAAAGCATTATAAACACCCGAAGTAGCAGAACAAAGGGGCAGGATGGGGGTTCTTATTACCTTATAAAGCCCACAGCACAAAATAAAAGAAAAAGGAAGATGAAAATCAAATTAGCTCTACTTCCAAGTGTATAAACAAGGGGAACGGCCAGTGTGAAGGAAGAGTTACAAAAGTGAACATGGAGCATTATGACTTAACCCTTTGCAATAAGCACAATCCCAAATGCTGTTTCTTTCACTAATACTCCATGTAATCTGCACGTGCATTTCAGAGTGCTCCCGAAACAGTGACAACTGTTTACACCACTTACATTATACTGGTATGATGAGTAACCTAGAGATACCTTTAAACATAATAAAGCATAGATGTGTAAGTTGTCTGAAGGTACCATGCCATTTTTTATAAGGAACTTAAAATAACTAAGGATTTTTTTTATCTACTGAAGGTGGGAGTATTCAAGAATCAATCGTCCAAGGAAACAAAGAACAACTATATAGAGTTTTATATGTAAACTTTCTCTAACAAAATGAGTACCACAGATAGTCTGAGATAAAAGTTGTTAGTTATGGGTCCTTCATAACTGCTTTAGAAACGACCTCTTTTCCATAGCCACAGTTTCAGAATTTGATTCAAAATTCTATCTGGCTAAATAACCCAAGTTAAGTAATAAAATTTAAACTGTCAGTTAAGGATATTTTACTGATTTTTATAACATCTGTTAATAATTACTGTTACTAAATATTTACATTGGTGCTATTCTTAGCACTACTAAAAATATTACTCCTATGAATGAACACTGCTAAATATAGTTCCTGAATTTCCCTAGGACAACTGTTCTTAAGCCTCAGTGCTGATGAAAATCTCCCCTTGAAAGGCTTGTTGTAACGTAGACTTCTGGGTCCCATCTCCAGAGTTTTTAACTAAGTAGGTCTAGAGTAGGTTCTACGAACTGAAATTTATACCTAATTCCTCCCTGCCGATACTGACTGGTCCTGCTGCTTTCAAAGTCAATGCTCTGAATAAATGGTTTACAAATGTCTTTGCCTTTGAATCCACACTTAAAAATTAAAAATTGGAGGACCCCGAAGAACTGTCCTTGGAGTGGCTTACACCTATAAAATGACTGTATTCTAATCCAAAGTGACATAGCTGTGAGATGCATTAATACACAAGTTCACAGCGCATAGCTGTCAAGCGACGACTGCATGGAGCCTCTAGAATAAAATCTCTAACAGAACAAAAAAATATGAACAATGAATAAAGCTTTGACTACAAAAATCTATGGAGAAATCTTTTTGAGAACTAGTATTTTGAGAACAAGTATTCTGAGGTTAATATCTAGAACTGAACTGAGAAATTGGAGTAGGTGCTGGCTTCATCTGTCTTGGTAACAAATAAATAAAGTGCGCACATCAACAAATTCCACCAGAAATGTCCGGATCTCCATCAGGACTGGCACACAGAGATACCTACACTGCTACTATCCAGTGATCACAAAAAGGGCATCTCATGTGGCTCCAATGACCGTTTTCCAGGTATTACATATGCTGAGAGTATGTTGTTTTCACAAAGAGTCTTTCAGTGCTGTTGCCAGCCACAGGTTTGTATTATCTCCTTCCCTCTCTACTCTATGCTTTATCCTCAGTCTATGAAAATGTTGTCAGTTTATTTAACCTACATGGAAATCCAGTGCTCATAGAAGACACCACATTATTCTTACCCATATTACTGCATACTTCTAAATTGAATGTTGCTGTGGAATATTAGCTTAATATGTTATATTTGTTTATGCTGTGGAATATTTGTTTAATGATGTAAAGATGTGTTGCATTCTTTTATGTGCATTTAACTCTATAAAGTTGTCTAGCTTTGCCAGCCAAAAACACCTAAATGGCCAATAGCTGGGCAGGAGAGACAAATAGGAGCGGCAGACAGAATAAATGGAAGGAAAAAGAATGGGGAGCAAGAGAAGGAGAGGACACCAAGGGGCAAGCCTCCCAACCACACAGCTAGCTACAGAGTAAGTAAAGAAAGCTATACAGAATAAACAAGTTAAAGGCCCAGAGGCAAAGGTAGATGGGATAATTAAAGTTAACACAAGCTGGCTAAGTAAGCCAAGCCAAATCCAGCATTCACAAGTAAGTAAAACTCTTCGTGTATTTATTTGGGAGTTGGGTGGCAGGCCCCCAAGGAGTCAAAGAATACAAGGGTTTAAAAAAAAAATAAAAACAAACAAACAAACTCTACAGAACGTAGAATTCTTTATAACTCAGTCTAATCCTTCCCAACTAGAAAACAATTTGAATGCATATTATTAAGAAAGTTATTTCTTAACATCCTCAGCTATCTTAAAACCTAGGCTGCATCAAACTTTTCCAAAGTATGAGCCAAAGGTCAGCTTCAGAGCAAACCCCTGTATCACACACACTGTATTTTCCTTTCCATGTTCCACTTCCTGTCTCCACCTCTGCCCCGGGACTCTGACTGCCTGAACACAAGATAGAGTTCCAAACATGCAGCAAGCAGTGAAAGGACATCAGAGACACTGTTAATTTAAAATCTTTTTTGAACCATAAGAGCTAGTTTCCCGGGCTGGAGAGATGGCTCAGAGGTTAAGAGCACTGCCTGCTCTTCCAAAGGTCCTGAGTTCAATTCCCAGCAACCACATGGTGGCTCACAACCATCTGTAATGAGGTCTGGTGCCCTCTTCTGGCCTGCAGGCATATACACAGACAGAATATTGTATACATAATAAATAAATAAATATTTTAAAAAAATGTTTAAAGAGCTAGTTTCCCTCAATCTAAATAAAATAAGTCCATTAAGTTGGTTATAAACCACACACATTCTGCAGGGTAGTGAAGAACAATGAAAATAGGTCTTTCACCAGAAGACATCACTATCACTCAGTTTGAAATTTTATTTTTTATCTATTTTATTTATTTATTTATTTATTTATTTATTTATTGGTTTTTTGAGACAGGGTTTCTCTGTGGCTTTGGAGCCTGTCTTGGAACTAGCTCTTGTAGACCAGGATGGCCTCAAACTCACAGAGATCCGCCTGCCTCTGCCTCCCAAGTGCTGGGATTAAAGGCGTGCGCCACCACGGCCCGGCTCAGATTTAATTTAATTCTTTAGCTTAGCATTATCATGTACAATCTACTAACTGTAAGGATCTGCACTCTGTGGCTAAGGAGCTACTGAAACTGTACAAAGTGGAATTAAGGCTTCCGGATGCCTGTGCAGTCTCACCCCCCACAGTGCTCACTGGGAGAATCAGGACTTCACAGGGAATCAAGACAGAAATGTTTTCCAACAAAATAGTTTATGATTCAGGCCAGATTATAAGAAAACAGAATTAAACTTTCTAAAATGACAGGAAAACGCAGCATACTACAAAGAAGACAAACAAAGAAACATCGCAGAGCATATTCGAATGGAAAGTGTTTTACTAAGTAGAAAGGCCTTTGAGTTCAGAAGTGCAAAACTGCAAATGAACCTGTTTATACCCAGAACATTCTCCTTCAATACTATATGAGAAGCTAAGAATATTTTCCTCTAATATTTTTTCATTATGCTTATCTTTCAAATGTATGTTTTTGAATACTGTAAAGTCTTTCTTTCCGGACAGCCTGAACTACACAGAAACAACCTATCTCAAAAGTCTCCATTTCACTGACTAAATTCCAAAGGGTTAACTGAATGCTCTCCCAGAATATCTTACATTTATATACTTTCTAAAAAGGAAAAATGAATTTCCCTATGTTTAAATCTCATCCTATAGTCACTGCATTACACTAAAATAGGTGCTGAGTCTCATCCACAAATAGGAAAGTCACAAATAAGTTTGTTTAACAATACTGACCTTCTGAATGAAATATAATATAGATTTCCTTCAGATCAATCTTAACTATTCACAAAGATAAGCATTACTAAAAGCAAAACGGCCCCAAACTGACTTAAGACAGTATACACACAAACTGCTGGTACAACCAACAACTTTGTGAAAATCAATCTAAAATATAATTATTCACCTTTATTATAGCTATAGCCACAATCTAATAGAGAATTTTATCCAATATAAAGTTGAGAGCACGAGGTAGCATACCTGGGCCAGCAGTGGGAGGTGAAGGCGTAGGCACAGCAATGGGAATGCCAATACTGCTGCTCCCACTGTTTTCTCGACTTCCACTTCCTCCACTGCTTCCACTACAAAGGAGAGACAAGCATTTGAAAAATCATATTTAAAGATTGATTTTTAAAAATTTAATCACAAACGGGGTTACTAAACATTAATTTTAGCTTGGTTATAACCCCTTACCCTAATATATAAACCTGTTCTTGTGTCTCACTGTTCCTCTCAAACTCTGGAACCAATATATAGTAGTACTCAGATCCCTATGTGCCCTTTAACACAAGGAATCTGAAGGCAGAATCAGGTGGATCTTTGCAAGTTCAAGGCCAGAGAGGCTACATAATGAGACCTTGTCTTAATAAGGCAATATTAATCTTGAAGAAATGAATGAGCATAAATATCTCACAGTAGAGTATGTCACCAGGTGCCTATGTAAAGCCTGATGTGACCGACAATGAAGAACCTCTGTGGTGGCACACACAGCTTCGGCACTGGCTACGGCTACAGGCTCTAAGCCTGAAACCACCTGGAGAACTCAGTGAAGCTCTTGTTTCCCCTCCTTCTTCCTCAGCAAAGAACACTAACCATACCACCAAACCTAATAACAGAACATGAGAACACGGGCTCTACAAAAGGGAACGTAAAGACATTGGGAACGAATGAAAGGGGTGGAGGAGTAAAGTATCCCTTGTCTGAACATCAGCATTAAATGTCTACCTGACAGAACACAAGTGGACAGGCATGGCGGGCACACCTGAGATCCCTGCACTCAGGAGACTGATAAAGGAGGATCACAACTTCCAAAACATAAACAAGCTGGGCACACAGGTGCACGCCTTTAAATCCAGTACTGGGAAGGCAGAGGCAGGTGAATCTTCATGAGTTTGAGGCCAGGTTTACATAGCAAGTCCCAGGCCAGCCAGGGCTACGTACTGTGGGACCTTGCCTCAAAAGCAAACAAACAAAATAAAATATAATATAGAAAAGCAAACTGAAGGAATTTTCTGGAAAATGAGTGGTGGTTTGAATAAGAATGGCCCCCATGGCTCACAATTTGAATGCTCAGTCATTTGGGAATGACACTACTTGAGAAGGTTACGAGGGAAGGGCCTTCTGCAGTAGAGTAGGGTGGTCTTGTTGGAAGTGTGTCAGTGGGAGGAGACTCTGAGGTGTCAAGCATCAAAGTCAGCCCAGTGGCTCTTTCATCCTGCTGCCTATTGCTCATGGACATAGAACTCTCAGCTCCGTCTTCAGCATATGTCTGCCTGCATGCCGCCATGCTTCCCGCCAGGACGAAAATGAACTAATCCTCAGAAACTGAGCAGGCCTCTATGAAATGTTTTCCTTTATAAAGAACTGCCATGGTCATGGTGTCTCTTCGCAGCAATAGAACAGTGTGTAGGACAATGTGCCTAACACAGCAACAAGAGAACGAAGCTTAGAAGCAGTTAGGGTTCACTGACCAGAACAGCTGCTACTGATAAACTCTCTTCAATTCCCTCAGAGCCAACGGTCTGTCCTAGCTGAGACTAGTTACTGTAGCGCACCTGCCCTCCACTAGTTACCCAGACTAGTTTCAAACCTCTAATCTCAAAGGATCCTCCAGCTTCCGTCTTCCAAGTACACACTACAGTGCCCAGCTCACATTATATTTTAAAAGCAATAGTTTGCTCAATATGCCCACAAACCCAACAAAGCAAAGATTTATAGTGCCTGAGTAAGACTATTTTGTTCTCCAATATGATCAATTTATAATTAGGGTATTACATTGTAATAAAAGGTAGAAAAAAGCCACTGATAGAACAAACTAGCTTAAACTAGCTTAAATATGGAATTCTCAACTCATTCAAGCCAGGAACTCAACACTCAACTTTGTATTTAGACCTAGGAATAGTTATATACTTAAGCTCAACCTACAATTCCTGACTTAAGTGCTTTTCTAACATAGGGATAAGAAGTGGCAAATTTCAACCTGTGGCCTAAAACTGAACATCAGCCCACATTTTTGCTTATGAGCTAACTTTTCTTTCCTAAATAGTTGGGGAAAACTCAAAAAAAGAAATGATATTTTGCAAAACATTAAAAGTATATGAAATTCAAATTTTAGTACCATAAGTAAAATTTTACTAGACCATAGCCATGCTCATTCATTTACATATTGTCTATGTCTCCATGGCACTGCATCTGTAACAGTGACTAAGTACATAACCCAGAAATCCTGACATGATGACATTCTAGAAATGTACTTTAAAAACAGATGTTCCTTTTTCAACACAATGAGCTTCTAGAAAAAACAATACTATGTTTTACTTGTTTCTGGCTGGTATTTAATAAAGCCATTTAATTAACTAGTGGCTGAATAAGATGAAACTAATACTGCCTCCACTTCGGAAGAACTATATTCTGACCCTATAATTCAGCAGCAACATATATAAACCAAGTTAGGACTTCACAAAGCTCACTAACATAGTCTGGTTTACCAGCTCTGTTCAGAACTCTTTCTCAGAAACAAGCAGAATGTTCTTCCTCTGACCTCTCGGATCCCATTATGCTGTGTAACTCCTACGGCATTTAACCCTTTGTCTAAGCATTTAAGAATTTGCCCTGTGCCCTTAATAATGGGCAGGAGTTCCTAGTAAATGAGGCCAAAGTCTCCTGTGTCCCAGCTAGCCTCAAGTTCACTGTGTAGCTGTGGATGACCTTCAACTTCATGTCCTCCTACCTCCACCTCCCAAGTGCTAGGATTACAGATGTGCCTCACTATGCCATCTTAGCTACATCTTCAGTCTCTAAAACACTCTTTAGTTTTAATCCCAGCATGTACTTCTGTCTGTCAAAAAGAGGAAATATATCCTACTAATAGTATACACAAATGAAAACAACCTCAAAATAAAAACTGAAACTTGACAGGATCAGAAATATAAATGCCCTCACCTTTTACATCCGCTATTGGCATTAACACAGAACCTCACTTGTATTCTGCATCTTTAAAAATCCTCACTCACCAGTCAACAGCACAGGCTCTCAGAGTTCAAATGTTCAGACAGAAGGCTTACCTATGTGTCCTGGGTCTCTGATTTAAAGAAGCTGTCCTTCCTGGACTATGTTGGCTTCCAAGCCTCGCAGGACTAGTCATGTAGTCATTAGGAACTGTTGGCGGCTTGACAGGCTCTAATGTTTTATAAGGCGTATTCCGCCTAAAAAAGAAAAGTGGAAAAATGGATAATGAATGAGAGAAACAAAGTAGTACCCCTCCCAAATTTGCTATAATCTCTGAGATTATAACTGTAATAATAATAATGATGATGATGATGATAATAATAATCTCTGAGATATTAACTGTAACAGAATTTTGTTTTACAATTTTAATTTTAAAAAAGACTGGCAAGATGGCTCAGAGGGTAAAGGTGCTTGTCATTCAAATTAGAGACCTTACTTAGTTCAGTCCCTAGAATGATGTGGGAGTGATTTCTTATTAATAAAGAAACTGCCTAGGCCCATTTGCATTTGATAGGCCAACCCTTAGGTGGGTGGAGAAAACAGAAGAGAATTCTGGGAGAAAGAAGCTTAGTAAAGGAGTCGCCATGATTCTCCCACTCCAGACAGACGCAGGTTAAGATCCTCCCTGGTAAGCCAGCTCGTGGGCTACACAGAATATTAGAAATGGGTTAGAACAATATGTAAGAGCTAGCCAATAAGAAGCTGGAACTAGCCGGGCCAGGCAGTGTTTGAAAGAATACAGTTTCCGTGTAATTATTTCAGGCATAAGCTAGCCATGTGGGCGGCCGGGTGCCGGGGACGCAGCCCCACCGCTCTTATTTCAACACTAGAACCCATTTATTTACACATGGTGAGGGTGCATCCCAGGGGAACACACACACACACTTCACAAAGTTGTCCTTTGACCTCTAAAAAGTGCACACCAGGCATTACACACATACACTCTCTCTCTCTCTAATGACAAACAGAAAAAACTTTAAGAGTAATATAAACAAAAACTTTAAATGTGACAAATTTTGCTATTTTTACATAAAAATTAAAATCTGGCTAGGCGCACACCTTTAATCCCAGCAATCAGGGGGCAGAGGAAGGCAAATCCTTCTGAGTTCGAGGCCAGCCTGGCCTACAGAGTAAGTTTCAAGACATCCAGGGCTGTCACACAGAGAAACCCTGTCTCGAAAAATCAAAAAATAAAATGTGTTGCTCTTTCTTGGGAAAATTATTGGAAAGGCACATTTAAATTTCTAACATTATCACTAAAAATGATGGTTATAATCTTTAAAGCTTAATAACATTTAATATTAAAATACATTATACTCAGCTTAGCCATTTAAGCCTTTCTACATGGGGTTGAAAAAACAAAAAACAAAACAACAAAAAAGAAAGTTGGCTAACCGATCCCCTCCTCAAAAGCAAGAAATCTAATATGGTATTTCCAAGTAACTAATCCTTCAGTAATATCTTGGAAAATATGGATACAATTAATACGACGACAGGGGACGAGAAATCACCACTACGTTTTCCAGCTTCCCACAAAGCCACTCCAGTAAGCAGATGCCTGTGACGAGCTGTGCACTTAAGAGTCACCTGAGTACAGTCCTCAGTGTAAGATGCCATGGAACAGGAGAAGCAGGAGATTGAGACTAACTACTAAGGCAAACTACACAAAGCACACCACTTATTCAACAAATCATAAATGCAAGTGGAGGCACCATAAGGAGCACTCTGGTCAATCCACTTAAAGTAAATTGTAAAGCCAATTAACATTTTTTAATACACAAACAAAAAATGGTATTCATTTACATATATACAAAAGATTATTAATATTTGGCATGGTGGCACCCACAATCCCAATGCAAAGAAGGTGAAGACAGGCTATCTAGTTTACTACTCAGTCAATCTAACCTCATTAGTGAGCTTCGGACTAATAACAGATCCTCTCTTTAAGGAGGTGAGCAGCTTTCCTAAGGGTAAAACCTGAGGAGTTGTCCTCTGGGCTAAACACACACACACACTTATGTACACATTAAACATGAGAGACAGAAAGAGACAGAAAGAGACACAGAGAGAGAGAGAGAGACAGAGAGAGAGAATGAGAGAGAGAGAGAGAGAGAGAGAGAGAGAGAGAGAGAGAGAGAGAGAGCGAGAGCGCGAGCAGGAAGATTTCGTTTGGGATTCTGTTTAGGGAAGAAAGGATCAGTATCAGTCTGAGGTGTCCTGCCAAGCTGACACTGAGCATCATCACAGAACCCACGGGCCTTACCGGCTGTTCTCTGACCTTCGCACACACATGCACATACACGCACTCACAAAATAAATGAATGTAAAGGGTAGTACTACCAGAGAGAACATGCACTTAGGTCTCGGGAATTCTTAGCAGAATGCAGTTAAATTCATACCCCAAAGTCCCTCGGCCTGACACAGGAGGGCTTGGTGGTTTCTGCGTGGGAGGATTTGTTCTCGACAATGTGCCAGTTCTTGCAGGCTGGTTATTTCCGTGCTAAAATGTGGAAAGAAAGATTTTATTTTTGTATCAACTTGTTCTCTTGATGTTTTAACATGATGTCTTTTCCTTAACAACAGAATGTGAAATAAGGATTCCCAGACAGTACTAATACAGTTTGTCATTATATTTTAAAAGTTCAAAAGCCACCTGCATTCAGTTCTTCCTGTCATTTTGTGCTATTCATATCAATTTATGCAAAATACAGGTGAGACTACTAGATTTTATAATTTATTATTAGATATTCACTGATATCAAATTTATTTGTATTCAAGAATCAGGATTATTAAAATACTTCAATAAACATATGTGCATAAATGTAAACCACAAAGCTATCAATCTGCTAAAATACGCATCTCAAGTATAATCTTTATCCTGATAATTCAACAACAAAATCACATGACGTCTGGGAAACCTATCTCTAAGTCAATGGAAGCAAAGCAACTGTAAAAACATGAGCAAAGCAGAAACTGTTAGCAAGATTAATGTTCCTAAAGTGCAAACGTCAATATATCTTGGATATATTAACACAGCCAAGCTAACGCTGATTTGATCTAAGTTTCAGCATATTTAATCTATGTGAATCCTACAAGAAAAAGCAGACAGACATAAGAGTTTTCACATTTTAGTGGCTCTGCAGCCTCTGTCAACATAGAGGAAGTACTGTGGATCAAATGAGAAGTAATATGTCTTACCTTGGCTTTTAGCCACTTTATGTTGGCAAAAACAAAAAAGAGGGGAAAAAGTAGAAATTAATTCTAGGTAAGTTGTATCTGACAGGACAGGTTGACATTTATATTACTGAATTTATGTTAACAAGCTTTATCCAGCCTTATTTCTTATACATTGTAGAAGAAAAGTACCTATAGGAACTAGGGAAATGCTTGTGTGTTACACTTATTTTCCAACAGTACTGGGACTTGAACTCAGGACTGCATACGTTAGTCAAGCACTCTACCAATGAGCTACATCCAGGCATTAAGTTCCCAGACTAGACTTGAACTGATTTTGTGGTCCAGACAAGATTTGAGTTTATGATTCCCTTGTCTCAGCCTTCCAGGCAGCTGGGATTGCAGGCTTTTGTCACCAGGTCTAACTTATGAGTACTTTTAAAAAGAAGTAACTTTCTCCATCCATCTCCAGATGAAGGTTCTATGGTAATATGCAAGATATTCATCAGTATGGCTATAGGATAGGGTCATTTCAGGTTCCCTGTCCTCAGCTGCCCCAGGAACTAACTGGGGACGTCGCCCTGGGCACCTGGGAGCCCCTCTAGGTCCAAGTCTCTTGCCAACCCTAAGATGGCTCCCTTAATTAAGATATGTGCTTCCCTGCTCCCCTATCCAACCTTCCTTTATCCCAATCATCCCGCTTTGTGGGAGCCTAGCCAGTTTGGATGTTCACCTTCCTAGACCAGGATGAAGGGGGGAGGACTTTGGACTTTCCACAGGGCAGGGAACCCTGACTGCCCTTCAGACTGGAGAGGGNCTGAGGAATAACGTACACTCATACCACCTTCCAGGGGACACGAAGTTAAGTGCCTGCCTTGAGCCCAATTATACCCTCTTCCAAATAGAATCCCTGCTACTCTCATGAAGGCATGGGATCTCAGAGGAATACCAGCTGCAAAAGCAGCTGCAATGCTGAATAGAACCTTAAGTAAATAGCCTAGAAGGCCAGTGAACAATGAATTATAATAAACCAACTGTAATTAGTAATAAAAGCCTTAAAATAACTGTAAAAAAAAAAGAAGTAACTTTCTAAAGAAACTACTAATTAAGCCAATCTCAAGCAGGCCTAAAAATTTCTTGGGTTAGCATGTAACCCATGCATCTAATCCAACTGAATTATAGCTCATAGGGAGATGATAAGGCATCTCGACAGTTAAATCTGCAGTGGCTTCTACAGGTGACAGCATCCAGCACCCACATGAGGCATTCCAGTGACAAGGGATCAAATGCCCTCTCTTCTGGCCTCCACAGGCACTGCACTCATGTGTACACAGACCCAGTACACACATATACACATAATTAAAGATAAAAATTTTTCATTTGACTTAAATAAGCGACAGTAAAGAAGATTTTTAATATGTGGAAGTCTCTAAATTAAATCTTTAATACTACAAAAAATAAAGTAGATAAGTAATGAACAAACACATGTTTAAACATCATCAGCTATTAAGAGTGCATACTGCTTTAGAAGAGGCTTGAGGAGGAGCTGGGTATGGTGCCTTTAATCCCAGCTCTTGGGAGACAGAAACAATCAGATGTCTTCAGTCAAAGCCAGGCTGGTCTATGGAGGGAGTTTCAAGCCAGTCAGGGCTACATAGTAAGACTCTGTCTCAAAATAAAATAAAAATAAAAACTCACAAGTGTTTTCAAATTCAGAAAAGAATATGGTCAAGCACACCTCAGTGTTTCAAAATAAAATCATTAAGCCCCGACTAAAGCCTGGGAATGCAGCTCACTTGGCAGAGTTCTGTGTAGCACGCAGCAACATGGGGTTTCATTCTGAGCATCATATAGCCCAGGTATGGTGGCATACTTCTGAAAACTCAGAATTAGGGAGGTTGGAGTAGCTACAAAGCAAGTGTTACACCAGTTTGGGATTTAAGACACCCTATCCGAAAAACAAAAACAAAAATATGGGTGGTATGTTATGAAAAAGATATGTGCATGTATAAAACTGACAAGTAATAAAAACATTTAAAATACACACACACACACACACACACACACACACACTGAAATCATCTAACAGCAGCTTGGCCAAATTCTAACTGCAGAATGAACAGTCCGGAAACTCTCATTTCTAGACTATGTAAGTCTTGAGCAAACCTACACTACTAGGAAGTATACGTTGCTATGTGCTTATCGAGCAGTTCAGCCAACATTCTAAATTATAGAAATGGTACTTTGATTGTAAAGATTACTTCTGTGAGAGATGACCAGCTAACACACCCGAGACAACGTGCATGACTCTATAATGCCAATCCTTACGTCATTTCTATTTCTAGAGTTTGTCTATAAAGTTTTGAGATTTTGATTTCTATCAATAACATCTGTTGTTCTCACAAGTATCCACATTTTTCAGATGACCTCAAAGGCAACATTAAGTAAAATCCTATGGAAGAATTTCAGATATCTTCTCTGGTATTCCTCATTATTTAAATGATTCTTTCTCACTGTTGTCTGGAACCCTAGCTAATCACCATATCACACACCTAGGTATGAAGTAGTACATTTAATTAAGGCCCTTGATAGGATCTACTAATGTATTGCATGACCTATGTGTATCATGGATGTGTGCAGTTTATAGCATAATATATAATTGTGCAAGAAAGTATTCTAAGTGCATTCTCGCATCTTTCTTTCAACTGTAAAAACAGAGACAAAAACAAAAAAAGCTCAATATTTATATGTAATCTGTTCCCAAATGAAGGAACAATAAAATTAAATGGAAAATGAGTCTTTACAACTGTGTAACTTTCAACCTTTGCTCAAGTTCAGCTTCCTCTGAATTAAACAGTTTTATGTATCCAAATGAAAAGTGTTGTAAAATTAAGCTCTGTCTGTTTTGGTTTTTCAAGACAGGGTTTCTCTGTGTAACAGCTCTGGTTGTCTTGGAACTCGCTCTGTAGACCAGGCTAGCCTTAAACTCACAGAGATCCACCTGCCTCTGCCTCCCAAGTGCTGGGATTAAAGGTGTGTGTCACCACGACCCCTAACCCCAGCTAATCTCTGACTCTTAATGCTCAAAATATAACTGGTAGCAGCTGGCAATACTGTATATAAAATGTCTACTTAAGTCTTCCCAAACTAAACATAAACAAAATAAGACTTTTGTATTGCCTTACGATCTCTCTTCCTCCAAACATTTAAATTTATGAATGAGTAATTTCACCATTTACCTGGAGTATGAATTCAAAGGCAATAGAATTCTTTGAGTACACTACTGTTCTCGCAATGAGACTAATTCTTTCCTTGAAGTAACTGATGAGCTCTCACTCATCTTAATAAAACTGAAGCTGTTTAAAGATCACAGTCCAACACAGATACTATAAAAAGCTAATGTCTGTACTGTAAAAAATAGTAAAACCAGAAGAGGTAGGCTAGACAGTTCAGCTGTTAAGAGCTCTTGTTGCCCTTACAGAGGCCCTAGAGCTCAGTTCCCATCACCTACATTCAAAGTTGTTCACAAATGACTGTATCTCTGTCCTCTTCTGATCTCCAGAGGGACCAAACATACACGGTACAAACACATGCACACACACACGGTACACACAGCACACACACACACACACACACACAGTATGCATAAGTGGTACACACGTGATCTACACACACGATACACATATAGGCAAAAACACTCAAGATACAAAAATAAATCTGAAAAAAGTTTAAAAGAACAATAATTGAGAGAGCATTAAAGCTGAGAAAGTCCTGGTGTTCTGTATTTCTAGAAAGCAAACTGAAACTAAATTCCATAACTGACCAGAAACCCAGAGAAAATATCAACTAATTATAACCAGTAAAATGCTTCCTTGGTCTTCATCTGTTTTCACCACACAGACAATATACACAACAGACATTCCTCTTTAAGTTACAAACTAATTTAGAAATCTCTTCATTGTCATGCTTACCTTCTCAATTTCTCTACTAGTATTCAAGCCTTCTTTCCCTATGCTCACTTGAAAATGCAGGGCCGCTTACGATCATCGTCTGCTACTGTTCTCCATGTGCGTACTCTGCACACTGGTTTCTCCTGTCAGTATCTATGGTTTCCCAAAATCTAGCCAGATTTACTTTAGTTTATTTTTATTTTAAATTCCTAATAAAATTACAGATACCATATGCTTTTTAGAATAAAATGTATTAAGTACATTTACATTCTATTTAAATATGCATAATCCAGTAAAAGAAAGCCCAAGTATAGCATACACAAATTCCAAAACACTAAACTTTGTATTGCAAATAAGATGGAATATTAACCTTAAGAGTATGAAAACTGTGGGAGCCCATGTATGACTCAAAACCTTGGATATGAAATGTAGTAGCTACAAAAATAAGATTAATCTATTTAGACATGGTATTTAAAATTATGTATTTTGAAAAATCCAAGCAGGAAGTTAAATGACAAAAGCACCATTAAGAAACATTATCAGATGTCATCTTCCATAACAGAGAGCATACACTCCCCTGCCCCTTCTTTTTACTTTTCCAAGACAGGGTTTCTCTGTGAAACAGTCCTGGCTGTCATGGAACTCACAGAGATTCATCTGCCTCTGCCTCCCAAGTGCTGGGATCAAAGATGTGTGCCACAATGCCCAGTGAGAGCATAAACTTAACAAATCATTAAGAAATCAAAGTGCATCTGAGAAGAGTTGAGGTTGGGGAGGAAAGAGAACAGACCAAAATACAATGTATGAAATTTTTAATTAAAAAAGAAATCAGATTCCTAAACAGAAATATGAACCAAAGACAAAAAATAATAATAATTACAGGAGCTGGTAGAGTTTGTCTATACTTAAAATGCTCATTTTAAAATAAATTTAATTCTTTCTGCCTCATAATTTTAGGCTTGCATAATTTATCATTAATGAACAGCCGAGTTTCTTCAGATCTTTTTAAGCAGCAAGGGGACTGGTTGGTCAGTTTGGTCAGGTTTCTTGTTTGTTTGACCCAGCTGACCAGGAACACACTATGTAGACCAGGCTTGCCTTTAAGTCTGTGGTCACCCTGTTCCTTCTGCCTCCTGGTCCTGTAGTATTTCTTCTGAGATAGGATCTAACTACAAAACCCACTTACTAGAACAGGCTAGCCTCAACTCAAGAGATGCACGGGCCACACCCAACTCTGGTATTATTTCCTAATTTCACACAAAACTATGATCCTATCGAAGAAAAGTAAGTTAAGAGTATGAAAACTTACAGAAGTCATAAAACCAAGGGAAAAAGCAGTGATGAGACATGGGGAAAAAGTAGCTGTGTATGTGTATAATTTGTATATGTACAGATAAATGTGACATTCATCAGTTTCATATTGGTTTCCCTTAGATCAGACTAACCTCAAACTTATGTGAGCAAGGAGGGTGTTGAGCTCCAAATTTCTCATGCTCCTGCCTCCCTATGCAAGTGCTGGGGACCGCAATACTGTACCACCACTGTGTTGCTGGGGCTTAAATCTAGGGCTGTGTTCACACTAGGCAAGCACTCTAACAAACATGTCAGTTTCTAAAATATACTGTTCTCACCCTTCTATAAGTCTTGATGTAAAATATTTAGTTACAAAAGCAATGTGATTATATTTCAGAAGTATATACTTAAAACTGATTAGTAAAAATTGGGGATAATATGTATCTTGCCATGATAAGCACTTTTCTAAAAAGCAGTTTTAAAGTTTGCATTTTTTAGTAGTTAGAAAACCATATAGGTATACAAACATTTAGGAACAAAAGGACAAATTATTTACAATTTATTTTCTAAATCAATCAATTAAAATTTAAAAAAAAATGGTTCTGTCAAGTTTTGTGTCTATTTGGGCTTTTATTGCTGTTGTAAAGTAACCCAGCATTATGTGTGAAGGAGAAAACTTTGGGGAGTCTGCTTTCTCCTTCCACCATGAAAGCTCTAAGAACAGAACTCAGGTTTAAAGGTTTTGGTGGCAAGTGCCTTCAACTGCTAAGCCTTCTCAGCAGCCCAGCTTTTTCAAATTTTTCTGAGTAATGCCTATTCTGTGAATAAAAATTTTGCTCCAATCTTAATGAAACATTTAACTCACATTAAATTAATCTTCTAGATGGCTAGAGAGATGGCTCAGCAGTTAAGAGCCCTGGCTGTTCTTGCAAAGGACCCAGATTCCCTTCGCACAGTGGCTCACAACTATCCATAACTCATTTCCAGAAGATCTAGAGGATCCAACACCCTCATTTGTCCTTGAAGGCACCAGACATGCATGTAGTACACATACACATATATAGGCAAAACAACCATACACTTATATCTTTAATATAAATAATTACTGTATGAAAACTGTAAATGCTAACTGCTAGCTAAAGGGAATCTACCAAATAAGAAATCCTATCACAATTTCTATCCAAAATCCTTACTGAAAATTCAAAGTAATCCACATTTATGAAATACAAAATGCTTACCTTAACTCCATGGCCCACATCATCCAGAACTGTGTAGTCGATAGGTTTCCGAATATACCTGACAGGGCGCTCCATATTTGCAGGTGCTATTATTTTGTGAGTTCTTGATGTATTCTTATTTGTTGTCAAAATACCAATCTCTCTTCGAGCCACTTTTTCTTTATGAATATCCACAGTCTATATTTTAAATTTAAATAGAGCAAGAAAATATTATTTGGTATAGTAGATAATATATACGCTGTCCATATGCATTGGACCATGGAGCTGTATTTTTTTTTTTTAAGACAGAGTTTCTCTATGTAGTTTTGGAGCCTGTCCTGGAACTAGCTCTTGTAGATCCATCTGCCTCTGATGCTGGATATAAAGGTGTGTGCTCTTGTACCTATTTTCTAATGAGTATGTCTCTTCTTTCAAAATTAATTAGGTAAATTAATTTCCTTAAGGCTCCAATCAGGAAATACTTAATAGATTTTCTAAAGCAACTGTTGGAGGAAATTGTCTCTTAGAAATCTGGACTGTGTGGAAGGAGAGAGGAGGGCTACTGCTCACTTTTACTGTACTAATGGATACAACACTAAATCAGTGATTTCAGCACGATGACATGAGCGCTGCAGTGACACGCGCAGATTACCTGAATTACTATAAATGTGTGCAGTGCAAGCAAGTTGAAAAGGTTTCACATGAAGGCTTTACAGACTGACAAAATTTAAAAGATAAACACAAGTATAAAAGGCAAATATGGAAATTATTGAAGGCAGAAAGAACTGCACATGGCAGTTGTGAAAGGAAAAAACTTAAGAGCAAAGGTTATGGTTATCGCAAGCCTCCTACATACTTGTCTGGTTATGAAACTTTTTAAAATACAACATTTGCGGAGAATCAGAGAATATAACTCACTTCCAGCATGTACAAGGCCCTGGGTTCCAGCTCAGCAAATAAAAATACATTTAAAACTTTCACTTAGTCATCAAAATCCACAAACTGGATAGTAGGCTGGGAAGGGCTCAGCAGTTACCAGCATAGACAAGGTCCTGGGTTTGATTCCTTCCATTGAAGAGGAAATAATGACTAAATGGGCAACATATTCTCTTTACCTTTGCTTTGTTTTTCATGTGAGACACTCACTGTCTTACTAGGTAGCCCTGCTAAGCCTGGAGCTTGCTTATGCTGACCACGCTGGCCTGGCCACAAATTTACAAAGATCCACCTGCCAGCATTTTTGTCTCCCAAGTCTTTCTATAAAATGTGTCCAGCTTTGTATGGAGGCATCTCCTGTCCTCTTGGCAGCACCTTAGTGGAACAGGACTCAGTCACCTGAACAAATACTGAATGCTGATTGTTTATTTCCCTGTTGAGACAGAGTCTCTCTACAGAGCTTTCTGGCAAAGAAGATAGGGAAGATAATGCACACTTGGTTAAGTACACTGTTCATCATGGCTCCCGGTTATGGCACCATGGGAATCAGAGTGTCCAGCATAAAAAGACCTTTATAAGTTTAATTAAAATATCCTTTTTCTTCTTGCATCTTCATATTTCTAACAATAGGCCTCAAATATTGATATGTGATACACTGACTCTGTGACAGTGAGCGTAAGTCAACAACCCGGCACCTAGGAGAGAGACACATCTCAAAAGGGAAAGAGAAAGGAGATACGGATCTATCTCTGAGATCACACCTGGATCTTCCCAAAAGAAAATCCTCTGGTACAATTACCAGAAACCATGGGAACATTTTAAATTTAACTGACTTTGGCATGACCTGCTCAAGCCCTCACAGACAGTTCTGACTATGATTTTCCTTAACCTCATACAATAGCCTCTTGGGAACAAGAAGATGCTCAAAGTCCTTGATTCTTTCATGAAAAACACCTGTCAATACCTCCAGGTATCTGTTCTATCCCCATTCCTACATCTATCCTATCATTCCAAAGGACAAATGAATGCCACCTAACTGGTGGCACAGATAAAAAAGAACAGATTGTACTGCTTGCCTTCAGGTACACTCTCCAAAATAAGGAACTAATAACACGAACTGAAGTGAGAAGCCTACGGCTATCCAAGATGGCACACTAGAGAAACTGTCATCCTATGCTCTCCAACTGAAGCGGGCAGGGGGCAATTCTAAACAGCCCACTGTTTAAAAAAGCAACCCTAAAGGAATGTACAGCTGTAGAATACTTCCTGTGTAAAAATCAAGGATTAACAAGGAACATTGTGACTTGTAATTAGAGGTGGTCATAAGAGACCTTCAAGTGTTTAAGAAAGGCTATTCTTGAGGGAGTAGAGGAATCCCACAGGAAAACTACTAAGTTAATTAGGTATGTTCTGAGGCAATTATTCAGAAACTGGAAATCATCCAATCGGATTTGCATTTTGTCCCTGGCTAGCTAAAGCAATACTGGTTGTCACTGGACAACCACCTTGGCCCTAGGAGCATTGTGTCAGTTCAATTCCATAGCCTGGTTTGTTCTGGATAACAGAATAGCAATTCCTTCTGCAAGACAAGGCCATGTGTGCAAAATGTATCCTGCAATACCTAGATTCATGCCTTAAGCCAAGTGGAAAGTCAGTACAAGAACTCAGAGAAAGCCACCTGGCTCTTGAAGGCAGCATTCTGCATTTACTCAGCTATCTGTTTTTTTGTTTTGTTGTTTTGTTTTGTTTTTTTCTCTTTTTCAAGACAGGGTTTCTCTGTGGTTTTTTGGAGCCTGTCCTGGAACTAGCTCTTGTAGGCCAGGCTGGTCTCGAACTCACAGAGATCCACCTGCTTCTGCCTCCCAAGTGCTGGGATTAAAGGTGTGCGTCACCACTGCCCGGCCGCTATCTGGTTCTTAAATCCTGGGTAGTGTAAGTGAGTTCAGCATTTGGTTGGTAATAACCTCAATTATAATGTCTTTCTTCTTCTAAGTTAAACAGAACATATCCGGTACTGGCCCCTATCAGAGTTATTAGTGACCAACAAGTGTGCAATCATGAGAACTTTTACCAGAAATCAAGAAGTACAGAAAACAGGGGAGAACCTTGGTAAAAGGTAATCTTATGTTTACTTGGACCTGAGTGTTTCTATCTATCTTGTGAAGGCAGGCATTGACTCTTTGCTCCATATTTTCTTCTTAGAGCACAGTTGTACTGGATACAGTCCTGGGGTCTACAAATAATGTATCCCTCTGGAGATCTGGGAAGGTTTTGCTTCTTGTATAGTGTATTAAAGATGTCATCTCAGGGCAAAGGTGTCAAGGTAAAAGCAGAGCTCACTTCACATTCCAATAGTCTGTATTCTCTAACATGTGTTCCCTAGAGATGACATTCTTGCAACACGTTGAACTACATCACTGAAGATGTGGTGCCAAGGCCAGTAAGATGGCTCAGCTAGTAACTGCATTTTGCTACCAAGCTGGATGACCTAAGTTTGATTCCTGAGACCCATGTAGTGGACGGAAAGAGCTGATCTCCATGGTGAGATATATTTATGTACACACACACACACAAATTTTTTTAATTAAAAAATAAAAGAAGTTATTACAGGATGTCCTGATCCTATTCAGTCTTCCATGGAGCTGAGGGCACAAATGCTAACATTCTGTTATTCTCATGAGTGAAGTCCTATGTCCTCTATCAACATCTATGAAACTGTAGGGAACTACCTTGTTTGTCTACATGGAGGACAAAACTTAAGACACTTCACAGTTGTTTGTGGTTTTTGTTTGAACAGGATTTTGCAGGGAAGAGAAAAGGACTGTAGAGATGGCTTAGTGGTTTAAGAATGCTTATTACTACCATTTTTGTTTTGTTTTGTTTTTTGTTTTTGAGACAAGGTTTTTCTGTAGCTTTGAAGCGTGTCCTGGAACTAGCTCTTGTAGAGCAGGCTGGCCTTGAACTCACAGAGATCCGCCTGCCTCTGCCTCCCCAGTGCTAGGATTAAAGGCATAAGGCACCACCACCCTGCTCGCTTATTGCTGTCTTATAGAGGGTCCAGGTTTGGTTCCAAACATCACATCAAACAGCTCACTATAGCCTATTAACTCTAGCTCCAGAGAAGCTAACACCCTATTCTGGACTCTGGATACACACATGCCATTCACACAGAGAACATACATACATACAGATAAATGCAAATAAAATTAATCTTTTAAAGATGACTTTTGTGATAGAAAAGATTCATACCCTTTGATTCCATCAGTAATTTTGAGAACTACCTAATATAAGTTATTGGTATTATAAGATGTAGAGTTGTATTCTTAGAATGCCTCTAAACTTTCTTTTATTTCTTTTGTTTCTTTTTTAGAGACAGGGTTTCTCTGTGTAGCCCTGGATGTACTAGAACTCTGTAGACAAGGCTAGTCTTGAACTCAAAGAGATCCACCTGCCTCTGCCTCCCAGAGAGCTGGGATTAAATCATTCGCCCCACTTCCACCACCAGGCTGTAAACTCTTTTTTATGGTGGAGCAATTAGAAACCATAGCCTCACACATGAGAGTTAAGTGTTCCACCACTGAGCTACATCTCAGTTTCATCATTTTCAAGAGATGCAGTGCAACTTAGCTAAGCACTAATTGTAGTTAAATTCTACCTGTCATGAAATTAAGGAATCTACAGCTCCTCAAAGGGGAAACAATGAAATCTTGTTTGGAAGTAGAAGAGATAGACACTACTTACTTTCACTTTTTCCTAACTGTCCTGAATATTTACTCTATCTCCTTCACAAGGGCACTTTACAATATTAATCTGAGATGTATTCTTTGTCAACTCTGCTTAGTAAACTCATCCACACTCAAACAAACTGCCATGTACATATAGACACTTTCCTCTTGTTCCTCTGGTGATGCCTCAAAACAAATACAGCATAAACCAAACACATATGTCTGCTCAAGTGTATTTTTGAAGACTCACTCTACTTCAGTTCTCTAGTAAGTTATATACAGCCTTTATTTCATATTTGTTTTTACATCTTGCCACATCTACCTTTAAGTGTCAGAAACCTGCTTCCTTCTATTTCAAATACTTCAATCCTAAGTTACTACATGTATCTCACATCAACTCTTACATTAGTCTTCTAACTGGTCCACAGACACGTAATTTGTACTTTCCCAATCTATTCTTTAAAACATAACCACATGAATTTTACCTACCTCCTGCCAAAAGAAGGCACCCAGAAAGAAAACAAGTTTCTTAGCCCC